GCCTATATTTGTATATGTTGAACTGGACCTTCCTAAGACCTATAGCATAGAAATGGTTTACGTTTACAGGATCAAGTTATGCTATTGAGATACAATATTTATTCAGAATGACAAGAATTGTAACATCCAAAAATTAGCCAAATCTGCAGAAACATGCTTTTTCATAACAATGATGTGGAGTTCTTTATGAAAGTTAGGAAGATTAGTTTATGGATGTTATATATTGTGGTATAAATAAAATTTAGTAATTTTCCATAAATTCTGATAACTTGTTCGCAATAAGCAAATTCGGCAATTTAATAATTATTATAATTTATAATATATATGTTATACATATATATATACACATATATACACACATATACACATCCATTATGCATTCTTATAATTAAAGAAATAAAAATAATTTTGTAGAGCAAATTTGAATCAATAATTATATGTTAAATCAGTTAAATAAAAGTGTTTAAAAAAGCGTAATCGTAACATTATATAATATTAACATTTATATAAATGACATAATGGAGCGAAGATATTAAATATGTGTGAATACAGTTATTAACAATTTAAAAGTTACCTGTTGTTGATGAGCCAAGGTCTGCTTCATGAGGACCATTTTAATACTTTGCTCCATCGCATACTTCTTCGCTCTGTTCACGGTGTCTTGTTGCTCGGATGAAATTTTCGGTAAACCAGCTCCTAATATTCCAGGTAGTGTCAGATATTTAGCGCCAGGTCCTATAAAATCATAAAATAGCAAAAAAGTGTAAGTCATAGTGATTCAGAGATAGTTCAAGGCAATAAAGAATATTTATTCATATCAGATCTTATCAGCAAACGTCCATTAAATCTGTGTCAACGCTCAATATTACTTAAATTGAACTGACTTAAAAAATAATGTGTCACTATATATATATTCTACATCATTTTTTAAGATAAACTGGATTAAATTAATAAAAAGATTCAAATGTAAAGTAAAAAAATGTATGTTATACATACCAGCAACAACTTGACCTATTTGATTGAGATCATAAATAGGGCCTGGTAAGAACTCTGATGCATTTCCTACAAAGAAATCATGCATTAGACAATTGGCATTAAAGTAGACAAATATTAAAAATATATATCAAACGTTTTCACTTTTTTAATAAAACCAGTTACGCCACCAAGTTATTTCTTAATGATTCAATCGATAGATCAGAGATTACTTTCTCATTAGCAAATTTGGATAGTCGTTATTTCATATTTTTAGAATCCAATGAGAAAATTTTTTTATATATTCAAATTGATATTTAAAATAACTGCTATCTCTCAGCAATCAGACGTTTGTTTTAACCAATATTTTGGGGGAAAACATCTATATATGTACAGATCCGTACACGGAGATGTGTAACAGCCGGATGACCTATTACCCTAGGCTAGTAAAACTTCTATTAGTCGCATTGATGTATGCGGGCGCATTATTCTTATTCGTATTGTGGAATATCTTTCTTAACACGAGAGTACCGTGACGCCATGCCAGCTGCTATGATAAAATCGTCCTCCAAACTGTAAGTTCACAGAAATTAAAACGATCAAGGAATATTACAACTTTTTAAAATAAATATGGTTGTATATGTATGTGTCAATGTGTGCATGTGGAAGTATTTATAACGCTTGTATGCAAAATGTATATATGAAAACCATATATTTATGCAAACATCGAAACGAAGAAACATTTCTCGTTTGATGCATGCTATTGGAAGAAACAAAGCGTAGATTATACGAAGACCACAGATAAGAAATTTTGTCAGAAATGATACGACTTATAAGAGAAAATGGACCGAACGTTAATCGTATGCATGAAAACTTTGATAAAATTAGTCATTAGCCGAGGAATCTTATTAAATTTGAGCTTTAATTACTGTTTGCACAATCAGCCCCAAAAATCAGACTAGTCATAATTAGATTAGGTTTCATAACCAATTTGGTCTGCTAGTCTCTGAAACAGAAATCAGAAACAGAAAAACAGAAGTCAGTTCGACTTTTCATGAATTAAAAGGCTCTTAAAAAGTTTTGTGCGATTATTCGATTTACAGCTAACCGTGTTCTGGGCTGAGCAATGACGGTTGTGCGCAAATTATCCGAGATTGAGGCGACGCACAAATCTGTAAGCACAAAGCAAAGGAGAATACTCTCAGTGCATTTTCTGCGCCATATTCTTAGTCTTTGCCTTCTCCAACCTACCACTTTTCAACCTAACAATTTTCACGTAGCAATGGCGAGAAATCTTTAACGCAAATACGCGAAATTCTTTTCTTTCCTATGATTTAATATCCAGAACGCGATTTTAAGTTTCCAAGATTCAACGTCACACAATTCTAAATCGTATTAATGCTCAATTTTTTTTTTATTTTACTCACATCGCCTACGTGCACACTCGGACATCGTTATAACAAGTCTCGAAATAGCGCGTATTCTGCTTAGCGATGGCAGAATAAAGTGCGAAGACACAAGTGTGACGGGAATGTATACCATGTTCTCATCAGGTCATATTTAAGTGGAATTTAATTAGATAATCTCTAAGCCACATCTATGGCTATATCGACGTCCAAGTGTTGGGACTTATCGACTTTCATTATTACCTAATGTAAATATATAAAACATATGATACATAGATATATGACAAACTTAATATACCTTTCGCCATTGCCACTCCCAATTACGAGCCTCTAAATAATATTTGCAAGTAGAGATATTACTGTTTTGATAGTAATAACTCCACAAGAGTCATATATACATATATATATATATATAATGTATTATGTTCATTTCTATCAATATAGATTAATTTTAATCTTGGTTTAACATATTTTTATTTTTTTCCAGTTCTCAAGAATTAGAAAAAATAAAGAGTAAACCAAGATTAAATTAAACCAAAATTAAACTCAATCTATATTAGCAAAAATGTGGATATTAATTGATATTATGTTAATAATATTCATAGAAAAATACTTTATATAAAATTTATAACAATATAATATTGAAGTAGCAGCTTCAAAAGAGGCTTATAATCAGGAACAGAGAAACTCTAAGCCCTAAAATGCTGACCTATCTAAAGTATGCATCGTACTCGGCAATAGATACGGTAGTGGGAGTTTGTTAAACTCTGATTTGTACTGTTCAACGAATGTAGTCTTTCTTTGTTTGGCGCACGTTCGTGATCACCGCTCAGTCGTAGGCCACGGATTCTGTACTGTCTCTCCGCTGTAACATCTCAGAACAGAAGGACAACCATACATTAGTGTGATTTAAGCGCCATACAGTCATCATCTATTTACCCTAGCCTACCGAAAATTTATGCTCAAAACTGCTTCGGAATAGACGTATTCTGCAGTTTTATAGAGTATGGCAGCATTTTTTAAAAAAGAGAAAACTAGCACCTGAGTGTCCTAAGTAGAGTTATTGTATGCATTTCCGCATCATGTTCTTGCTCTTAATACACATATTACACTTGCTGTCGTTTCTCTGTTTGCGTTTCCCACTAGCAAAGTTATGTATACAATATCATAGTTATCACAGGCTTAACAATTATCTGGTTGCATTAGCAATTTACCTTCGACCTTGGTCTTCTTCGCTGGTGGTTCTGCACTGTTTTGAGACGTTGGTGCCTACAAATAAAAACAAACTCAATATAATATAAAATAAAATCAACGAGTTTACTTGTATTATAAATTCTATGAAGGTTTATTGCCTAATATTTTTAACAAATAAAATATCAATTGTATGTTAGCAGTTTGTTAGTAGATTTCAATAGAATATCATAGCATTGGCATTGCCTGTGTCCATATTAAACTAACATTTTGTCATATATAATGATAGCAGATAATCATATTTTATATTTTTTATTTTAGCGAAGAACATGAAATGCTTGTGATATAAGATTAACTTAATGTATTGTAAAATTAACTTTGAATATTCTTGGTTTAACCCGCTGTTTACTTTTTTCTAATTTTTAAAATTAAAAAAGATAAACAGTGAACTGAATTTAGATTATATCAGAGAAACTCTGATTATATACAATAAATCTTACATTGGTAGAATCAAGCTCTATGCCTGTTTCTATTAATATAGATTAACTTTAATCTTGATAGAACTTACTTTTAATCTTTTTTAATTTTAACAATTATGACATGAATATAGTAAATTAAACAGAAATTAAAGTTAATCTACATTGATAGAAATCTAAATTGATAGATTTAGTGACACAAACATTATTCTATCTCCATTTCTGTCTTGCAGCTAATTAATAGGCTTGAAAAATTTGTCGTACGACACATGTAATATCGGATCCAAGATGTTAAACGAGACGTGGTCGAGGATTGATAAGCTGTGTCTAGTAACATAGATCTGCGATCGCCATTATGCCGACAAAGGGTTAGCCACATTCGTCACTGATGGCCGAAGAGCGGCGGTCGCCGCAAGGAAAGCTTACCATGGCCATCGTTCCGTTCATCATTCCACGAGAGCCGTTCCTGAACGAACGTAGGTGGCCTAAGACTACGATCTGCCGAAAATTCCTGGACGAAAGCACGATATACGCGACGAGTCGATCACACTGCGGCACGACGCACTTCAACGCACTTCTTCTTTGCGGAAGTACCGCGCGCCCGGAAGCCGCGCCACGCTAATTTTCCCGTTGCATTCCCGAGCGTTCATCGGGAACGCCGCGAGACCAAGTAAAAAATATGTATTTATTATGTTTCTCCGAATGTTTATATTGTGCAATTTAGCGCGCATCTCCCGCGTAAAACAACGCGAATTGGGGGAAAAGAGAAATGAGTCTCGCTGGAGCGAGCGAATGATTTGATTCGAGCGGTGCACATATTTCGCATCCGTGACAGCCTTCACGGCGGTCATTGAATCGCGTTTTGTGGTAAGGTTAGAATTCGAATGTATTTCATCAATTGTACGGTAGGTTTGTTTTTTTCCTTCGCCCGGTGTATCTTTCACTCTCGCTCGGTATGATGATCAACGACGAGGTTATGGCGGATAAAGGCTTCTTCATCAAATTGGTGAACGACGAGAAAGTGAGGCGTATTTTCAATTACGTTCGCATGCCATTTCTATGATTCACCGTATGGTTCTCTTTCCTATGATAATTTATAAATACAAAGAGGATAAAATAAAGAGGGGGAGGAGGACATGAATGTCATGCTGAAAATTTTTCTTTAACTTTTTATATAAATTGAAATACTTTTCAGAAATTCTGAGAAAATTTATGTTAAAGTTTTGTTTAATTTGTGAATTCTAAAATATACTCTTGAGATTTTTTAATCTATAATTCTTGAAAAAATATCTTAAACTTTTATAAGATTTTATTAGAAATTTTTCAGAATTTACGTGTGTTAAAAATTCTAAGATGTAGATTTTCTTGACACTTCTAAATAGTATTCAATTTGAAGTAGATGAGAAATTTTATAAATTACACATATATATTTGTTCAAATCAAACTGGGACTTTAGATTGTACAGAATAATAGAACACATTTATGAGAATGCAAATTATCTTTATTTCTTGATGTAATCTGCTATATTTAATTACACTTATTCCAGTGTTTTATTAGTATTTGGCTATAGCATAGAAAGATTTCTTAGTATACTGGAACCATGATTGGATTGCCTGTTTTATTATATGTTGTCACTGCTCAAACGCTGGCCTTCCAAGAATTTCTTTTAATTGCTTTTATTAATTTGTGCATTTGTTTTGCAGGGAAAAGGGCTGTTTTCTAATCGTGCATTTAAGGAAGGAGACGTGATACTTGAGGAGAAACCCATAATATGTTGTCAGTTCTTATGGAACTCTCAGTTTGGATACTTAGCATGCGATCACTGCCTAAGACCATTAGAAACAGCAGAGGAGAATGTTCGGAGGTTAACGGGTAATCCAAACTTTGTTGTACCACACAAGGAATGCTGTGAAATAAATAAGAGTTTAATAACCGAATGCCACTTGTGCGGGGTCAAGTACTGTAGCATAGAATGTCAGAACGAAGCATTTCAGAGGTGATTATGAGTTGAACTTTTATAATATCGTTCTTATTTTTAAAAAATAATACAATTAAAAAAAGTTTAGTTTTCTAGATAAAGAGAAAAATTACTTTTAACTTGACAGAAAATTGACTAATAAAATAGTATCGACAAAAGAATTAGAGTAGGTGGTTTTAAAATAAAACCAAATCATGAATATAATTTGATCTTATTTTAAGATTGTCTTAAGTAATGTTTTAAACTAATATGCGACTCTCTGATTGATTCATAACATCTTAAAACTGTACTTAAGACAGTTATATTTGCTGTAAATTTTATTATATATTACACTACATATATTACATACACACACACACTTGTTCATTGTTTTTTAGATATCATAGTACACTGTGTTTACAAGGGAGAGTCAAAGATGAGAGTCATCCTCTCAATCAATTATGTGAAACATGGAAACAAATGCATTATCCACCCGAAAGTGCATCAATCATGTTGCCAGCGAGAATGGTCGCTGTAGTTAATCAAGCAAATGACAAAGAAGAAGTTTTAGCAATGTTTTCACAGTTTTGCCATCGTACCGTTTCCAATGACACGCATGAAATTGTACACTATCTATTAGGCGAAAAATTTGTAGGCCAGATTGATATCCTTCAACAAATGATGAAGGAGGCTCTTAACACTGAGTACACCTCACATGTATGTAATATATAATACATAAATATTATTATTGTTTGTAATAAGGCTCAATAAGTTTTTAAAAACTAATATAAAGGGCAATGAGCCAATAAATTCGTTAAAATCTTTTAAATTAATCTAATATATTGCGAAGAATATCACGTAATTATGGCGATTCGTTCCAGCTTCCACTACTGGACTCATCAGTAAGGCATTGTAGTGGAAGTCTACCTTATACGCCTGAGAGAGTTATTCAATCGAGATTCTATATGAAGAGATATACGTGTATTAAAGCACTTGCGAGAATTTGTGAATATCGATAGACCTCTGATGGGTCGACGTAGTAATATTCTTCACAATATTTAATAAATATTATTGTTATATGTATGCTAATGTTAATTGGAATTCGTTTTTAGTGGTTCACGCCAGATGGTTTTAGAAGTTTATTAGCTTTAGTAGGAACAAACGGACAAGGAATTGGTACTAGTTCATTTAGCCGCTGGGTGAAAAATGTTTCCGCTTTAGAATTGCCCAAAGACGAAAGAATTTACATTGACAAGTTGATAGAGAAAATTTATGATGCAATGGACGAAGGTAATTTTAATCTTTATAATTAATTTTTCTCTAGAGCGTTTAATAAATAATTCATAATAAATTCATGTAACCTCTGGAAATTTTTTTCGCAGCGGTAGGTCCATTTCTGAATAATGAAGGGTCTGGACTCTACTTTCTACAGTCGTCAGTGAACCACAGTTGTGTACCAAATGCAATTGTTGAATTCCCTTATTCAAATAACACTTTAGTACTGAAAGCAATACGAGATATAAAAAATGGTGAGGAAATTTGTACAAGTTATCTCGACGAATGCCAACTCGAAAGGAGTAGACATTCCAGGCAGCAGGCACTGAGCTCTTTGTATCTGTTTGTTTGTCACTGTGACAAATGTCAAGTGCAAGCAAATGATCCTGATGTAACGTCTGACGAAGAGGAATCCGATGAAGACTGATGAGTGCTAGCTAACAAAGTACACAGGAACAATGACATAATTTTCATAATAAACAAGATACGAGTTATATATTGAATAATATTTAATCCTCGTCATATAACGATAACTTAACGAATATTTCGTTACGCTTTACTTGACTATCACAGATTGGTATAATACAAGTGAGCCTTATCAATAAAAAAATAGTATAATATATAGGATATAAACATACAATTACACATTTGGACTTTTAACAAACTTACTTTATTATTGTAACAGAGGCTTTTAATGTCATTTCTATGTAATAAAATTACTATATAATAAATTTAATAGCATTTTGCACTTCTTTTATTTTCGTTAGTTCAAACTCGAAGGACTGACTAATTATTAATTTTTTATTGCTTTGTGTTATTACAATAATGTATCATTTATAAATTCAAGTAATATTAATATTTAACAAACGTAATTAAAATTTATTTAATTAAATCGCTCTCTTACTACAAATCAGCTATAAAAATTGTTAAATATATTAATTTATTAATAATATTAAATCTTATAGGACCATATGAGAATTTAAAGTAATGAAAAACCGATGAGAACAAGGGTAATTTAATTTATTAAATAATAATGATGTGCAAAATCAAGGAATCAGGTTATAATAAAAAATTGCGTATAAAAATAAAAGAAAAATTATATAGATCGATTTGAATTGCACATTAATTGTATTTTAACTTAAGTATTACTTGAATTTGTAAACTCCCTTACTACAAAAGTAGCACGACTAATTTAACTTTATTAACAATAATCGAAATCATTATAAAGAAGATTATTCTAAGATTGTGAAAAACGAAAATGACAAAAATGATATTCGATGATATTACGAGTACATGAAACGATATATATTGAGAAATCTTAAGTATAGTCTCAGGTTGGCCACAAATACATGCAAGCAAATTGATTAAATATGCTTCCACAAGCTGCTTGTGCCAATTTATCGTGTCAGAAAAGTAATTTGTGAGAGCAAAATAAAACTGCAATTTTCTGACACAATAAATTGCACAAGCAATTTGTGCAGGCATATTTGACAAATTTATTTGAACGTGTATAGACTGTGGTCGACCTTGAGATGTCAATGTTTAACTTTGTTATTATAAGAAAATTCATATTTATGACTGGTCAGTCCGAAGTGTCAATTCATTTTTTCCTAGTATCATAAGATCAGATACATATTCAGGTAACGGCAGCGTGAATGCATGTCTTTCAATTAAGGTAGTTAAAAACCTAGCCATGTTGTGACTACGAAATTCCCAACTGAAACAGAAGAAGTTTCAAATTAAAATGCACAAATAGTGACCTCGAGTGTACGTAAAAAAAATTTTTCTTACTTCATACGTATACTATTAGTAGGCAACTTTGAAGCTAAACAGTCATGTTGTATAGATTCTATTGGTCCCTTTATAACGAGCTTCTCTAGAATTGGAGGATTTTCGCCATAACACTGTTCTACATATTTTTTCCGTTGTTTATTCTGTGTAAAATCTATGCCATTATTACTGTAACAAGATTTACACATAGTATATAGAAGTATGTGTTGAATCTAATTAATAAAACATCTTATAGTATGTACATTGAGCATCAAATATATATTTATAAAGATAAATAAAATAAGATATATTTCAGAAATTACCTGATGATAGGGTCAGACGGTTGGTAAACAGGTGGTTGACTAATATTTTCAGCTTGTAAAACGTTTTGTTGCTTCATCCATAATAATTTCATTAAAGATTTGAGGTCCTTGCCCATCAGCTTGATTGTTTTGCAACTATTATAACCTAGGCTGATAGCTATCGCTTTTACATAATTATTTGGTGCACATTTCCTTGAGCAAAAAAAATAGTTATGTCCAAGAAACAAGGCAAAATAGATTGGCGTGCTGAACTGTTTTGCCTTTTTCTGTTTCTTTCTCTTCTCGTTGATAGATACAAACATAATACTGTTATACATTATAGTTTTTACATCTGCGTTCAAATCATTTGCAGAAAATTCCATTTGAATATTTTTCTGCATCTTCTGTTTATCAAAAAACTTTAATTTTTCATTCAATCCGATCAATTTGTATCCATACCATATTTTTCTGTAGCTATGTCTGCTAATATCTAAAAAATAATTATTTCATAAGTTACATTGATATTTCTCATAAATTTTATTTCAAGCTTAGAATTTGAATTCAATCTGGAACTGACAGTGAATCTATTGGATCTACTAAATCAAATCCCTTTCTCAAAAATGTCAAACAATTTAACTTTTTTTATGTTACATCTGCAAATTAGGACTCTTACTATTAAAAAAATATATTTAATATTCATTATTTTTTATACAAATTATATCATTATTTAATCCTTGGAAATTAACCCTTCACTAGTCAAGTTGGACTTGAAGCTACAATCGACATTTTGAATCTGGTGAATTCTGAAAGACAAATTAAAAAATATCTATACATAAAAAATAAATTTTAAAAACTATATAAATAATCAAGATTTAAGAATGAGCAAAAATTATATGTTCAATTACTAAAATATCCATATTAACCAATATATCAAATGATCCTTAGGCCTTCATTATTCTTATAGGTTTTTATCATTAAAAATAAATAAAATACAATTTTTTCTATGATAGAAAAACTTGTTAAAGTTTTCACAAGTATGTAAGATTTTTTTCAGACTCTTATATAGTCTATAATAATACAAAAATCTATACTGAAAGTATAGATCTATACTCCAAGACTCAGGTTGCTAATAGAAGATTCAAAATTCTACATGGATGATAAAATATTAATTAGTGTCATTTAATTAACATAAATTACATGATTTTTACAAGTCCAGAGTCAGTGTGTTATAGATTTTTCAGTTCCAGAAGATTAATATTTATAGGCTCGTTCTTTTTAGATAAACTTCTTGCATGCTCTTTCTTTTTGTCTCCAACAGAGGAAAGATAAATAATGCAAGAATTTTAGCTAAAAAGAACAGACCTTATGATTATAAATTTACCTGTTACTGTCAGCATTGTCAATCTGTTCTGCAAATCTTTCACATTTAAATTTACGTTCTATAAATAAATTAGACACAAAAATGATATTACATTATTGTAAATGTTTAAATTTTGAGCAAAAATTATAGGAAGTGAGTCTTACATCGAGAACATCTCGGATAACGTGCGTTACATTAGGTACCGTAAAATGCTTGTGATTCTTAATCAATTTAGATCTGACGCTAGTCCATGATGTCTCTGGGAAAACGGGTATCACAGCACTTTCCAGTTCCTCAAATTTGAATCTGTTTATCACTTTGATTAACTGCTTAACAAGCTCTATTGACGCTGTAACATTTGAAAAAAATTATTACATCGTATTGGCGATATAAAATATTTTGAAGCAGCCGAAAACGGGATCTTCGCGTGTACTTACACATGTTTGTCATTGCAAATAATTAAATATTCATGAAAAATTTTCAAAATTCTTCCTCTTTCACCAACTTCTGTTAAATTAATCGATAATCAAACACTAGTGAAATCTGCAGAAACCATTTACTTTTTCATTTAGCCGCTATTTTATTTGTGTGTTTGGAAAAAGGTGTAATGGAAGGTAATGTTCTTAAAAATCGATTAAATTATACTCATTCAACGCGTTTTTCCATAAAACGGAAGAATCTGGCAGAAATAAGCGTCGCTCTGCCCCGCGAACAGAGATATTAAGCGTTAAAATTGACGATTATTAAGGTTAGGATATATGTCATGGCTGCACATAACACTACGATGTGAGCATGCGCTGCGGTTACATTTTCATACTTTGTGGCCACACGCGCATGCGTTTTCATAAGTATGCGCTTGAAAAAGAAAATAACCGCTAAATTGTACTGTTGAGCATCAACTATAGACAAGTATAGATAGACCTAGTGACCCTCTGGTCACTAGCTAAAATATGGCTACACGTGACATTGTAGAAATTCTGTTTTCTCGAGAAAACTGTTAGTTATTGTTTAAATTAAAATTTTGGCTGCAATGAGTGCTTGTGCAGTGAAAGGGTGCAAAAATAGTTACCGAAAGGATGCATAGTTACCGAAAGATGAAAAATAGCTACCATAATTTACTTCATTTTTAACCATTTAAATTTGCCGCATAATGATGACGTAAGCTGGGTGACAATTCTCATTGGTTGTCTGAAACTATCATGCGCGTGAGCATACCCTTGTATTTATACCATGCTCAATGCTGGGCTGCGTTCAGAATCATCATCTGAGTGCACCCAGGTGTCGTGTTATCCTTGTTTATCATTCGTGAACAACAAGGATAAAACAACATCTAGGTGCATCCGGACGACGATTCTGAATGCACCCCTGCTGTTGAGTATGGGTTTCGACTTTAAAGGGCTTAAAGAAAAACAGAAGAAGAATTGGCAGATTTTGGCATCATTTGGTATCACTGTTGATGCTGATTTTTGCACTGTGCACCACTGTGCACATGCTGCATAAACGTGAATTGTTGATTTGTGATGTAAAAGAAAAGAAGACGATAGGATGTATATGATCGACGACGAGGAATTCGTACCGAGACACTTCGTCGTCTGCGACTTTTACGACGTAGAGACGTGTTTCTGTTGGAATGCCGACAAACTCATTATCTATCCCTACACGAATGACAATTCCGGGATGCGGAACGTGCAGATTCTGATGACGCCAGACCCCATCAAGAAAGTCCAGTTCTTCGACGGCAGAGTTTACCTGTCATGTTCGCCGCTCGGAGTTTATAAAATATCGCGGAATGGCGAGTTTGCTGTACTGAGCAAAACTGCGTTGAGCATGGGTGGCGAGTTCTACCAGGTACTCATCATCTGGAACAATGGTGTTTATCTCGACAATAAAAAAATAAAGTCATCCACGCTGTTGTTTCCTCTTATACCGAACGCGAGCGAGACGGTGTGCACGTTTCCTCTGTTTCCGACGAACACCGAGCCGCAGTTAATAAGTCATTTCGCCGCTGGTTGGAAAGCTGAAAGAAAGCTGTGCGTTGTCGGATATCACAAGAAGCTATATACGTTAAGGGATGATGTCGTACAGTTGGTTTACACTAGTGACAGCGTTATCACAGATATCTTGCCTGTCAAGAGGCAAGATAAGGTAGCAGGTCTACTACTTCTTACGGAACATGCAAACATGGTAATCTTGGTACATGGAAATGACAAATATGCAAGAAAATATAAACTGGTTTTTGAAAAGATAAACCTTGGAGAAAACATGAAAGAGAGCACAATGCTCTGTATTGCTTTCAGTCTACAAATGGAAAACATTTTGTGGATAATTTGCTGTAATCAGTTTAAAACATTTTATATAAGAAAGGAGCTCTTTGTCGAAGCGGTTCAAGAGGCAAAAGTAGAAGAGAGGACGTTTACATGTATGCAGTATTATAAGCCAAATATAATTCTAGGTCTTTCGCAAAGGATGGATTTGATAGAGATGTCTTTAGAAGAGTTGGACAATTCTTTGTCAATCGATAATAATATCGTTCTTCATACTGGAATGTTTAAAAAAACAGATATTATTATGGAAAAAATTTGTGCCAAAGTAAAGGAGCTTAGTGTACTCTATGAGAATTTGTCGGATGAGCAAGATAAGTTGAAAAGAATAAATATGTTCGCTACCAAGCAAAAACTACAAATAAGTCCTGACATTGAGGTATCTAGAGTGTGGAGATATTGTTATCTTGGTTTAAGCATCCCTGATAAACTGCCTAAAAGCAGTTATGTGGTGTTCACTTTTGCTTCTAAAAATCAGAGCACATTCTGTATGAAGAAAGCCACAGAAAATCATGCATTCGCAATAAAAATGCCCATCAATGAAAATCAAATATTATGTTCTTCATCTATCAGTATGGATTTAATTACATTGGCGAACGAGCAACGTCCATGGTGCCTTGTACAGAATTTTATAAATTCTCAACTACAGAACCTTAACAAGAAAAGACTAAGGAACAACAAGATTGACTTTATAAACACTAAAATAACGTCATTGTTACAATTAATAGCGAGAAAAGAATTGAATATGACAAAATTATGTGAAATTAAAAAGATAGTACGTGCAGAATTATGCAGATATGATACTTGAACTATCTATATATTTAAATTTAATATAAATGTTAAGATATACGTTCTATTTCCTATTTTTGTATTAGACACATTTTATCTAGTTTTTTAATTAGAATAATATTTTAATACAAATTTTATGACTTTTAATTTGATGTATGTGATACTGTGTACAGTATTGATCTTTTTTTTAGTTTGCTCTTAATTTTAAGATTATATATTTGTTTTTGTACATATTGTCTTTATATGTATATACAAGATAGATATAAAGTATTCTACAAGATCAGGTGTAATTTCTTACAAATTCAAGAGGAAAACTTAAAATCATATGTTTGAAACAGCTCAGTTTCAAAGACACAGGTCACAATTGAAGAAAAAATTTGCTCTAAAAAAAAAAATGCGAAAACTTTTCGAGTTGTTTTAATAAAACTTTAAATCTATACGAAAATTTTATTAAAATAACTCGAATAGTTCTAAATTCTTGGAAAAAGAAATTTTGCCTTCATTTTGACTGTATCTTTAAAATTAAGTCGTTTCAGATGTATGATCATAAAAGTTTTAATTTTGAATTTGTGTTAAGAGAATTACCCTTAAAAATCTTTTCGGATACTTAGTATCCACTCTATACATATTTATGTGCCTTAGTATTGTTTTGTGGAAAGATTCTATATACATATATATATTTATATTTATATAATTACATAATTATAGTACAGAAAAAATACAGAAAGTTGGAAATTTTTTATATTGTAATTCTTATATATAAAATGAAAATATAGAAAAACGATCCAAAGAAACTTGGATAAACGATAAATTATGGCAGTTGTGACATCTAATTTCTAGACATTTTGTGAAGACAATTAAATATAATCTAAGGAAGAACATATATTTATTATGATAAATATTGTTTCATATAAAACTTTGTCACACGTCAGATCGGCTCTCTTTGTTACTGAACTCAATTATTGAAATTACATTTTTTTACAAAAGAATCTTCTCGCTTTTTAACTCTCGCTTTATTTACTAGCGTTGATATTTTTGGCGTACATTACATATGTAAATGTAATTAATTTTTCCTAGTAATTGAAGGCAATAATTTTCATGCTTTATTTAAAAACGAATAAGTATGCTAAGCGGGGGCCCAACGATCGTAATATACTAAACATATGGCAGTAAGTATAAACTTACTAAATAAAGATTATAAAATCATTATTTAAAGATGGTAGACATGACAAATCTCAATAAATATAAATGTAAAATGAAGAACATACATATTAACACGACATTCATTAATTATACATGCTGTGTGTAAATCATCGCTGTAAAAAATGTCACGTTTTTTCTTCCATGCTGTAACTTTATATATATATATATATAACAGTTTATCGTATCTAGATCTATTATTCTGCAATAGAATGCTGTTTCTTTTTTATCAGGTGTAATATATTTCTTTTCTACATATAATATTTCTATGTTTTAGACTCAGATAGTACAAAATATTAATAATATTCATCGCAGTTCTCTTATTGATTTCCTTTTTGTAAGTACTTCGCTCAACAATCTACAGAGAACAATGTCAGGTAACCATTTCCTATCTCGTTACATTCTATAGAATCCAAAACCAGATGTTGCACCTTGTAAAATATTTCATTATAGAGGCAATTCACGATTAGCAAACGTAGACGTATTTTAAATTAATTCCTGTTTTTTATTTATTTTATTTCTACTGTGTGCGTCAGATCTGCTAATATAGAATCACCTCATGTAGATGCATAGAAAGGCTCGCTTTATGCCTAATAATTATAGTATAGTTGTACATCACGTTAATGTATTTAATATACATATATAAGTACTCAATTAACAACAGTATAAATTATAATGTACATTTGCCTCATGACTTATAAAACAGAGACCAACATTTTAAGCAAATTAGACTTCTGAAAAAGTATTAACAATATTACGGAGTGAAAAAGAAGTTTTATAATAATATAAGCATTCACTTCTAAAATTATGACAAAAATACTAAACAATTATAATAAAAGGCAACTCTTATAATTTAGATTTCACATACTCTGAATGTTATAGAGGATACTAGATTAGAAAAATTATACTCTTAAAGTAAATAAACCTCTTCTTTAGCAAATATTTAATCTTTCTTTTTCACGTAGTAAAATGTCACTTTAAGATAATAATTCAATCAGTCGTCAAATCACAAATTAAATATCTAATGAAGAAAGTTATTTAATATTTACGAAAAGAACAATAATCTTGTTTTGCATTTACATTTGTATGATACAATTAGGCTTTGTATCAATATAGTTTTAGCAATTATAATTTATTACATGTGATTTTAATCGGAAACGATTAAATTGTTGCTAAGAAAAGATCAAATGCAAATCAAGCAAAGGAAAAAAAAAACGAAATTTTGCTTCGTTTCTTAATCTTAACGATATCGTAAAAAAAAACAGCACATATCTCCTACATTCATCTTAAGATCCTTTCGTTAGAATAATAAATCGCGAGAAAAAGTGATATAAGTACGTGACTGCACTGGTTATGATAGGAATGTAACTAACGTATTGACAAGACTTCAGTGTCTTAAGAGAAAGAAAAAGCGAAAAGGAATATTCGTAGTAAAATTGGTTTAAGCACACAAAACGATAATATCTATATAGAGAATTTGTTAAGGCACGTAATATAAGTACAAGTAATTATATCAATTATATACCAAGTCATTGTTTCCTCGCTGCTATTCGCTAATTGGGCCATTTCAAACTATCACGTACGTTTACATTCGCATATACAACTAAAAAGAAAGTAACTAAACTCTCGAGTTTTCGCGAGGGAAGTGATCTTCGAATAAAGTCCAAGACACAATGCAAAGGAATAGCAATAGCGATAGGAATAATACAATTTAAATCTATCAAAAACTGTATATTCCGGTGTTGAAGCCTAAGTGAAGCTGTTATTCGTTATCGCTATTTCCTTGCATTGTATCTTGAGCTTATCATACTAAATCTTTTTCAACCTTTTTTTTCCTCTTGTTCATTTGTACTGTTTTCTAATATATATGTATATATGATGATAATATTCGACTGTGTGGCTAATTTCATATATTTTACTTTTGTTCTCTAATGAATCTTTCATACTAAAATATATTCAAAATAATGTCAAGGCATTATTGCAGCGTAGTTTCTATCACTTTCCTTTCAATTAGCTAAAAACTGTACTCGCAATGCCACTCATTTACTTGCATTGAAACAATCGTAACAATGTTGAATATAGAACATTGTGTATACGACATATATACTTTATAAAATCTAGAAATGTATAAAAAGACATATTAAAAGAAAAACAGAGAAGTCTTTGATACTTGTTGCAAACATAATATGAAAGCAATTTTTTATTTTAAGATAAAAAAAAATCAACCATGTTGCTAAATGAATTCTAATCCTCTTATTTTCTTTTTTTCGTACGTAATTAGATAAGCTTCGAACAGATACAGTTTTTAATCGAGTATATCTTGATTTTATCATTTATTATCTATAAATGCTATATTGACAACCGATTACGTATTATTTTCTTCTTTATGCAAACTATCGATTTGAAGTTATATTTTTTTATACTTATAAAACTTACTGATTCACGAAAAGCGGGTACAGTTTCTAAGCTAATCGCAAAAAATATGAGGTGCCTGTTTCGCGATAAATACCTAAGTATTTCATGGAGTATCTAGTGTCACAGTAGCAAAATATGTCATGCCAGCATGTTTCGCTCTGTGTTGTTCGATGCTCTTAACGTTACAGATTTCGTCGACAGTATCAAGTGCTGTCGACCGTTCTGCAAGCGTTAAGAATTATCCTGTTTAGGCAAGAGATTTGTTCGTTCCTCGTCGTTCACTTTCTTCATAGAGGGTGACATTCGTGTCACTTCAGACTGCCGAATGAGAACGTCTGCATCTAGTGCATTCAATGAATCGCGTTTAGCTTGATTTTCCACTGGACTCGTTTGTACCTTAAATGCATATATTTTTTATAAGTTAGAAAACAATAAATTTCGCATTACTCTAATCTTGTCGCGAAATTCGAAATACATTAACTCTTTGATAACAATGGCTGGATCATTCCAGATATTCGTTAGTTTTTGAAGATTATTTGTACATCTTTTTACATACATAAGAATATAAAAAAAATAAAAATTGCTCGAAAACTATTACCTTTTTCTTGCTATTTTATATATTAGATTTATATGCGGAATAACTTTCTGTTTATTTAACAGAATACGAATAAAAAAATATTCCAGTCTTATGGCTCCCGCAGACAAAACGCGGTAACGCTTGCCGCGCGGCGGAAGTTGCCGCGATAGCCAATCAGTGTCTCGCCGGCAAGATATTGATTGGTTATCGTGCCAACTTCCGCCGCGCGGCAAGCGTTTCCGCGTTCTGTCTGCGGGAGCCAATAGTCTTTCGGGGTTGGAGGATTAAAATATGAGACATGTAGAAACCTTCGCTGAAGAATTTCTGATTTTTCCATCATTTCGGGGCGAGATAAACTTCGAATTAGTGATGGGACTGGCGCTGACCGGAAGCGGCGACGTTGGCGCTGTTACACTGCGTATGGGTGAATGAATAACGCCATCCTTTCCCTTTTCGTTGTTCATCATTCTATCCGCGGGCAATATCGGAGATTCAGGTACACTGCGATCATCTTCCTCCAGAGAATGCAACAACTGTAGATTAATAAAATCGTGAGTAATTTCGTTCAAGATTGGCAAAAAGTTTCAAGACAATTTCTAGTAATTTATAATTTATGTAAGTTACAAACCTTCTCCACTTCATCGTCGAATTGTTCCTGACTAGGCAGCGGATCCTTTTGGCTTCTTTCGAGAAGTGTAGCACGTTTTGCAGCAAGGTACAGGGATCTTTTAACTTTTACGTAGAATACCTCGGTCACTGCGCGCACCGTGTAATCTGGTATAAAGGTATGACGCAGCATTGAATCCAAATTGACAGACTGAATGCTTCCGACTGTCTGCGGATTTGCGTTGGTAGGCGACTCAGCTAAAAATGAAAGAGTTTATAGTAAAGCTCCATTTACACGGGTAAACATTATCAAAGTGTATCTTATTCTTACCGATTCCAATGTTAGCGGTAAGAGCTTGTGATCCAAAATACGTGAAAGGGCCACTTTCAAACATCATATTTTCTTTTCCCACCGTCACTTCGACGCGACCTTCTAAAATTAGCACAAAGTAATCGACCGCTTTTCCCTGCTGATAAATTATCGCGGCCGGATCAGTTTTGGCTTTCTCGCGCGATTTCACTTTAATGTGATAAATAATATCTTGCTTCAGTAAACGTCGCAGAATTGTCTCCGATATAACGTCGGATTTAAACGTATCCACAGCTGAAAATCACACAAGATATAATTACAAATCAAACATCATAAGATATAAACGTTTTGCAATCCGTCCGATATTACTTACTTGTTGACAAGTACTGAAACATTGCCAACGTTAATTGTGGTGAAATGTGAATTCGTTGGTTTTCCTTTTTCTCTGCGAATATGGTGAAATCCGTTGGCATTTTCGGACGAACCTGTCTTTTACGTTTGCTTCTGTTATCCGCTGCAAAAATTAATATTCAATTAAGCGCCTTACGAATTTGATGTGTAAACTTTGAGTTTTCAATTGCGAAAAAATTCCGCGATAAGTATGAATAAGCAAAACCTACTAAACACATCTGTCTCATCAATAATCTCAGCCTGAATTAATTCTTCAATAACATCTTCTAACGTGATCAAACCGATCACTTCGTAAAATGGATCACCTTCGCCTTCGTTGTTAACTCTTTGCACAAAAGCCATGTGGCCTTTGTGTCCTGCAAAATATACGCGCGATTATTATCACTCATTATTCTCGTGAAATCTATTTATAAAAAAAAAGAATAGTATTATATAGACCTTCCTTGAATTGTTTAAACATTATGTCCAATGTGACATCTTCAAAAATAAAATTACACGGATTTTGATAAAATTGACAAAGTGTCTTGAGAGGTGTATTATCGTCGGGATCAACAAAAGCGAGATCTTTGATATATAGCATCGTTACGATGTTCGTTCTTACATCTTCATACACTGGTATACGTGAGAATCCTAAAAAATAAATTGCATAATTTAATTCTTTAAAAGATTACATTATTCTATAAAATTGACAAGAAAAAACGTTTAATCATTAATTATATTATTAATAATTATTAAAATAACTATATAATTATATTAAATTATTATCAGGACCTGTGATAAAACTAAATATTGATTTGAGATTTATCTTTAAGTGTTTGTTTGATTAAATTGATAATATTTAGCGTCGATTGATACAGTGAAATGCACAAACGTTAAAATTCTCTTAAAATATCGTACCTGATTTCATTATCTCGGACACAGTTTCAAAATCTAGAATAGCATTATAATTCAACATGTATACATCTTCAATTCTGGTCATTACATCCACTACGGTCTTCTTTCGCAGTTCTAACGCTCCTGCAATTATATTTACTTCATCTTTCTCTAAATCGTTGTATTCGGTCGTTACCTAGAAAGGTTCCTGTATAGTATTAATGTATCAATTTCAAGTATTCATGCATTTCAAGTATTTTTAATAAAATTTTTCCATGTACAAGATATTCGCAATTGTGAGCATTATCAACATTTGTTAAAGATAACAAAATTGAATAATTGTAATTAATAATATAAAGAAACTATGTTAATTATAGTTTATCATTGAAAACTAATGCAACTACAAGTCACTTTCTTATAACAATGCACAAGATGTTCTAAATCAATTTAATTATTATACAGCTATTTAAATTTCTTACCTTGACCAGCTCTTTCAAGCGTTCTCGATTATACACATTTCCAATCTCTTCGCCAAGAATAAAATCAAGAAATTTGCTAATTGGGTAACTTAATGGGAAAGTAATTAGCATTGTCAATTTAGTCAGATAGATAGTCTTTGCGCCGACACATAATCCGTGTCTGCTACAAATAGCCTACAATGGAACGCATAATAAATTATATCTTTAAGCTCAAGATTTTCGAATAAATTATAGAAAAAAGCTTTTGCATAATACGAAAAGACATACCTGTGGCGAAATTTCACCAAAAATGACAATAGCTAATGTTGAGCAGATAACGGCAACAATTCCAGATGTCAACTCGTCCAACAATATCGTAAATATTGAATTGACAAGAACGTTGGAAAATAGAATTGAGCACAAAAGATAATTTCCGTGATTTCTTACTGGTTGAATAGTTCTCGCATATCTTTTCTCCTACAGAAAAAGTGGAAATAACGCAACGTAAGGGAAATCGAAAACGCGGGTAAAATGTAAGAAAATGGATTCGCTTACTTTTTCTGTACCGGTGTTGCAAAGTATTTTCAATTCAGTCCTATCGATTGCCATTAAACCGAGATTGAGACCAGAGAAAAGTGCGGACAAACTGAGACAAGTGAGAATGATCATGATAACGAGCCAGAGCGGTAGTAATTTTTCATACGTGCTGATCTGAAAGTCATCCAAATTATAAATAATTTTATTCTGTGTAACGAAATTTTATATTAAGTCTAGTTACTCGTATCTAGATAAAATCGATGAGAAAGAAGGAAGAGAAATATGCTCACAGTGTTATACAGCGCGGTGCCTTGGTGTCTGTACAATACAATATCCTTATCTAATTCTTCCTTTTCATATAACGGCCGTTTTGCGCATATATAAAACGACGATCCCATAGGGAGTATTACACGAATGGTTGCCGTAGATGCCTCAACATTTTCCACCTTAAATATTAAATAGAAATGAAACAATATTAAGTATTAGCGAGGAGCATCTTTTTATTTAGCGACTCGAACGGTGATACTCACCGGAAACTCGTTACTTTTAATTTTGTCGCATATACTGCCTCTTTCCGCTGGCACGTCGGTGAAGGCGATCAAGGTGTCCTCCGTGATGCCGGTACCGAATAATCGAATTACCGCCTTAGTTCCTGCCAAAATCTTCGGAATACCCTTCTCGTTGTGACTGGGTTCCTTGTCGGCCGTGTCTATTCGTAATCCTTCGATATGTATGTCTGCAGTGTAATTAAATGGAAAATCGTGTTGCGCACGAAGATATTTTCTGGAAATAACAAATATATCGCAGATTAATTCATGTCCCACCGTTATTGTATCGTTATCGTTGTGCGTCGCTGTTATTATTATAATCGCGACATTTTAAGCAAAGATACATGCCACGAAAAAATAGTAGTCGATAAACATTAATGATGAGTGACTCATAAAGTGTGTTATCAACACTCATTTTCGAGATATCAATACAACTCGTTAATTTATAAAATTAATTGTGAAGAGCCCTTTCATAAATAAGACTATCATAAATAAGGCCTTAAGATATTGAGATAATGATATTTCAGATTATCGATAAATATAAAAAATTACGTCAATATAATAATGAGCGCTTGTCATGCATAAGTGTTTTTATCTTCTTAGATATCACATGGGCTGGTTTCGTAAAATATCGAGTGGAAATAAGTAAAAAACCGTCTCTATGTTTTATTTATTTTCTCGGTACTCTGTAAAAATTACACAGTGCAACAATTTTGATCAAACGATAATAAGAATGGAAACAAGACTTGACAGAACAAAAACTGTTTATTTGAGCATATCACATAAACACGAGAAGCGCTACTTTCGGTCAAAGTTAGATGTTAAACTAATAATACATATATATACTGGGTGTCCCGTTATAACTTTCGACACCGAAATCTCGAAAATTATGAAAGATATAGGAAAATGTTTCAGGCAAAAATTAGAGTTTAAAAAAAGTAGGGTTTAAAAAGGTCTATTTACTGATTTATGCTGATTCACTTTTATGCGATCGTTAAAGGCGACGAGATTGCTTGTACTAAGTAGACACAATAAATCTCGATAACTTCAAAATGGTTCATCCAAAGTGAATTAAAAATTATAGTGTTTTAGAAATATCTCAGGAAGAGCTATAATAATATGCAATCAAATCTAGGGGGTTCTATTTAAAAAAAAATTCAAATTGATCTCGTCGTGATCTTGGCAACGTCACCCAATGTCAAACGGATATGATCAGTAAATATATTTTTTTAAACCCCATGACTTTTGTCTGAAACATTTTTCCGTATCTTTTATAATTTTTGAGATATTTCGGTGTCAAAGTTAAAATGAGACACCCAGTATGTGTGAGTGTGTATATTTTTTTTCTTCGATTTATCTCAGAAATATGATTGCGCGCCGTTACTATAAGACTTTCAACATGATCAATTTGAAAATACTAATATAATCCCCTAAATTTAATTAATTTAATTTTGACTAAGAGAAAGTGGCGCTTCTCGTATTTAGGAATTTTTCATCAATTTTTTGTTTTTCGATAAGTAATGAATTTCTTTGACTTTTTATATACCAAAATAAACTTTTCAAAAAATTCCATTAATTTTTAGAAATTCCCTTCGCTTTGAATTTCTTATATAATATAATAATAATAATTAGCCCTTTAAGTACTGAGATAAAAAATAGTAACACTTTTACTAAGATTGGTTCTTGATTTAATCATCGATTTAAAAAAATACAGAAATTATATAAATTTATGTTTTATTAATCAAACCATAAATCAGTCCGTTATAAATAAAGCAAAAATAAGACAAATATTATAGTATTTTGGTTTTTTTCGCTTCCTACGGACCCCTTAATACTTGAGATTTAAAATATCTATTTGCAATATATGAAAATACACATTAATAGTATAGCCTATTTAAAAATAAAACCTTTTTCACAATCATTTTAAGTGATATATTAAAATGAACTTTACTGGCAATATTTAACATAAAAAATTACACTGATTTTATGTTTCTCAACACATGAATGGACTCATATATTTCGTTCCATAAATTAAGAGAAAAAAGTTGTAAATTATTTAAATTTGAAGCTTTTTAAAAAATAAAGTTCTCGATTTCTCAGAATGTTGTGGAACTCTTTTAACTTTATATTCTTTTTCTCTCAACAGCTAAAAATACATAAGAATCATCGCCATTCAGGTGTTGAGAAAAAGAAACCTTGTAATGCCAGTGTTATTATACAAATTATGAAGGTAGAGTTTGAGTTCGTTTTAACCGGAGGATTTTGCAGAACAACCTTTCCATAAATCGGAGTGAAAGGTCGATTATTTTAACACCGCATTTTTTCGGTTCGATGAAGCAGCATCGGAGGAACGAGTCCGTGGCATAATTTATAATTGTAGAAAATGACGTGATTCACACGTAAGTATCAGAGCTACGTAAATGTCGCGTCGCGTTACGCGACACAGACGAATAATCGCTAAACGGCGGGATATATGGGTCGCACTCTAATTTCTATTTTTATTCATAACGTGGGCCAAGTTTGAGTTGGTTCGAATATTGAATCGCAGACTGTTGAACCATCGCCAGCAAGAGGTGTGGTTAATGGTAACTGAACGTCTAGATAGCGTGCAGTTATCGCTTCGTCCCTGCTGTTAGACGAATTCCTCAACGTGCCCAAATGTGCGCGTCTAAAGTTGCGCATTCCACTTACTGGAGCGATAATATATACGCCCTAACGTTTACCATCGTACGACATCGTCTTCTATTTCCTAATCCGACACGATTAGCTCCCCGCAATGTTGATTGACGAGTAAACAGTCGCTGTGAGGAAGGCGTTGAAAATGTGATTTATTGAAAACTAAACGGTCCACATGCTATACAAAGTCATTCGCCTTCTCATAAATCAGCGTCGTAATATTCGTGGGAACGAACGTAGATAATTCCGACGTGTATATACATTTCGTGTATATATCACTTTCATTCTTGTGCCGATGAGCCGATTAGACGAGGGAGTAGAAAGTCATGAATTATCTGTTTACAGAAATTTTAAACTATTTTTTTTTTATCATGTGTCACCTGACTAAGAGCTTGTTTAGGAGGAAGGGCCAAATTGAGATTTTCAAATCCGGAGAGAGGAGAGGGAGGAATTCAGTAGTATAGACTATCGGACTTGTTTCACATGTTATATTATTACTTTTAATTAATTATTGTATTAGCATGTGAAAATCAACACAAAATCACTACTAATTTATAATATTTTCTTTTTCTCTTAAAACTGTAAACTAAAAGTAAATTAAAAGAACTTAAATTTATACACTAGTCGTTTTGGATTCTCAAAGAATCTTTCTATAATTTTCACCTCCAATTTTATTGTACTGCAAATGTATAATTTTTTGTGATTATTTTGTTCTTGTTTAAGATTAAAACGGGTCCTTGCTATGTTTTCTATATCTTTGTTTTAAAAGCACCAGTAAAACGATATTTTGAACGTTGCCATATGGACATGAGTTCCATGAGATTTAAATAGACCGAGACGCAATATGGGAAAATTAGAACAATTAGCGGTTGTTTAAAAATTTCTGTTCAAGAAGTGGAAAAAAGTATAAATAGGATATATGTATTTAAAACTTGTAACATATATAGTCTTGGGTAAAAATATTAGGCACTTATATTTTTTTTCATTAATCTGAATTTTATGTTTTTTTTTTGTTTCCTATTGGTGATCGGTATTATATATTTCTTTAAAAAATTCTTAAAACAAAGAGGATAATTTACAGTAAATTTCATAAATTAATTTTTTACTTAAAAATAATGGTTAATAAAATGCCTAATATTTTTGGTTAAGAGAGGTTATACATGAGAAATCTTATATTAAGAAACGTTACATAGTGAAATATATACTGCATTTATGTAGGCAGTTTGTTTAATAAGTCAATGACTCTCTTTAAAAGGAGACTACATTGAAAAATAAGTCAACTTTTAGTAAAAAGAAAAAGTAAAAAGTGACTGATTTGTCAAATTGCCAATTTTATACAATTTTTAATTTAACAAATTACATATATCAAAGAGGTATAAATACGGTATATTTAAAATATTTATTATTTTTTTATGGAATACAATATTTATTTTCAAAAAATATCGATATGATTTAATCATGAAAATAATCCATTTTTATTGTCTTCCTCCACATTTCAGGCGAGTATAAATTCTGATTTGTTAAAAATACTATAGTTTTTATTTGTGAAAAATTTATCAAACCATTTTGCAATCGCCATAAAAAATTTTTGTCAGACTAAGACTGCGTTCTGCCGTACTGCTCCACTTTCAGCGCTAATGCGTCATTCTACGTTTATCGTTCTTTAGACGTGAAACAAGGATGCACTGATAGCACTGAAAACGTGCTTCCGGAATGCAGCCTTTAGTTTGGTAAAAAATTGGGAAATATTGTTGAAATAAGAAGATGATTTGATGAATTCATCGCCAATAAAGATCAGTCTTTTTATCGAATCAAAATCTTGCCTGAAAGATGAAGGAAAATAATAAAAAATTATAAGGATTACTTTCATGTGATTGAACTATGCAGTATAAATTTTAAAAATAAATATTGTATTATATAAAAAATAGTTAACTATTAATTTGTATAATATATATTATATTATATTAAAATATAAGTAAAACAAGGTTTCAAAAATAAATCTTGTAGTCCTTCTTTGGTATCATTATATATATTATATTGTATATATTTACATATATAGTATTTGAAAATTCAATACATCAAGTTTGTAATAACCAACTTAATTAGGAAGAGTTCCCCAAGGATTTTAATATAATTACTAAAATATTAATGTCCAGTGTAAAGCACTTACATACTTTCTATTATTTCATGTCTGTTTTTAGACACTCTTAGTCAGATTTCCTCAGTGATTAATTTGGATAATTATTTGATATATCCTTACATTATCTTTAGAAATTGTTTTCTATTTATAACAGAAAGAAGATGAAAAAAACCTGAGAAATTAACGGAAAATACACAAGTGTAGGAAAAGCCAGTGGAATAACAGACAAAAGTAAAAGAAGAAAATGAAGATGAAGAAAAAGTGCAAGAAAGCAAAATAAAGCAAAGAACAAAAAATAAAAAGAAAAAAGATGAAAATAAATTTGAAGAAAAAATAAAGCAAATGATAATGAAAGAGAAAATAATGATGAAGGTAAAATGAAAGAAGATAAAACAAAATACACAACAAAGAACGAAAAATAAAAACGATAAAACGAAAAGAGGATGAAGAAGAAAATAAGAAAATAAAAAAAAACACAATGAAGAGGAAAAGGATAAAAATAAAATTGAAGAAAGTAGAGAAAAAGATGAAGCAAAAGAAGAAAATGAAGAAAATACATAAAGAAAGAAAACGACAAGAGGATATGCAGACTTATACTTAAACAGAAAGGAAACTGTCGTAGTATATGTATATATACTTACTCAGGTCGTACGGGATATTTTATAAAGACGTGATTTCCGAGGTTGCTCCATTTTTCGTCGCCACCGTCTCTCAGGCAAAAATAGACGGCCGTAATCTTCGCATCCGGAACTGTCCGAAATCGGTAGATCGCGCGATCGCCCGCCGACGATGTCCACACCGCGTCCAAAGTGTCGGCGGTATCGCGCGGGCAGTCGCGGCTCGATAGTGACCATCGTAACGCGAGATCGCGATCGAGGCCGGTGCCCAGGAACTCGACGTGAGGAAGTTGGCGATCGTCGGCGGAGTTGGTGCCGAACGGCAGTGACGACCGCGAGACGACCGCCGCCGAATTCACCGTGGGCTGAACCACGCGCGGCAGAGCAACGCCGTCGTGACGAACGGCATCGGCGACAATCACCACATTCGTCGCTGTCGTCGTCAACGGTATCGACGTTGACGCACCGGCATTCGCTAGCTGGACGACGTAAGCGGGAACGAACAGTAAAAGAATTGTTGCCGGCGCGAATCGCGAACAGCCGACATACTGCGCCATCATACGACTACTGTGACTCCGCTGACAACTTCACTCGGCTCGAGGCGAGAGCTAGTAGTTGTATTTATAATGCGCCACCGCGCGGCGCGCAGGTGATGCGCGCGCACGCATCTCTCGGGGTCTCGATTCCCAATCTGCGCCGATCTGCGCACTTGACAGCACTCGAAGGGCGCGTTCCACTTGGGCCTTTATTTGTCCTTGTTTAAGATTCGATAAAACGACAAGGATGTAATGATTCCATGAGCGTTTACGAGAGCGTCAAGTGGAATTGTATTCTTCACCCTTTCGCTGAAGGCTGAAGGCCCGTTTCGATAGGAGTTGTGCCGTAAAGCTAGATTTACATAGCACTGTACGTAGGGTAGGATGCAGGACGTAAGTCGTAAGTCGCGAAAAAAGAATAAACACTGGTCGCAAGATTTCTGCGTAATTTATATCGGCTGTAGTCAAGGCTCGCTACAAATGCTTTGAAGCGTTTAATGGATTAATTGGAAGAAATAATTTTACGCAATGATCAATTTAAAGAACATTTCAAAGCATTTATATAGCTTATAGCATCGTGTTGATCCTATATATATATATATATAGAGGACAGAAAATATAAATACCGACGGTAGGTAAATTATCGGATACCAACAGAAGGTAAATGATCGGCAATCGATAATAACATCGTGTGATTTACCGAGCACAAAATTCAGATAGTCTAATCTCGTTTTTTTTTTTGTGTGTGTATTCACCAGGTAGCGCTAGTTGCACTTGACAATCCCCGGAGTTTGACAACTGACATTGGCAATCCGTCGTCTTGTGCCGTCTGCTCCACTCCAGTGTATTTTAAGTGTATTCAAGTGCATCGTGGACGGAGTCGCTCATGTAAAGCTGGTGGAAGGCGGACACTGTCGTGTTGTGTCGAGCGTCGCGCCGCTTCCTCTACCGCCTTCACTGCTATCGAGTCGGAGTCAGTCGGAGTCTCCCCCAAAAGAGTGCATCCGCGTTACGTCGGAGCGCATCTGCGGAAACGGGTGGCGAAAGCGGGACGCGCGTCCTACGGATCTCAGAGGGCAACATTGTTTGCGGAACGGTGTTCCCAACCGCAGCTGACGCTTCGCGTCGAAACGCCGCGCCGTGCGTGGCCACTCAATCTCGTCGCTAGAATCTCGCGTTTTCGTTACTACCGTTCCATTTCGATCCTGACAGAATGGGGACGTTTTGCTACAACTTCTCCCAGTACTCGCTGGCGGCCATAAGCCTTGTGTTTTTGGTGAGTTCACACTCCACGCGTTTTTGTGTCTCAGATCGATAAGTTGCCCCGTACGGCACAGATGCTTACAACAATATTGCTGTAACACTGCTCTGCAATTACCTTAAATGTTACAGGAATAATATAGCAATGTCGCTGTGAATTTTGTGCCATAGGGACAATTGCTCTTCACCTGTATCCGAGCGATTTTTTTATTCGTTATTCTAATAGGTCTTCTACAATAAGCCATTACCTAAGTTTTAAGTATTAAAAGTCATTAGAAATTGACCACTCACAGTCGATTATTCTTCTCACATTCGATTGTGATTGGTAAATTTCTTATGATTTAAACCCTTAAAACTTAAGTAATGGCTTATTGTAGAAGGCCCATAATTCAATTTGATTTTAGAATGTCGGTAAACGTCCGACCCCCAGCCTGCAAATAAAACATTTCGCCTTCGTTCTGTAATGTATATAATGTATAAACGTGTATAATGCATATATATAATTAGAAAGAGTTACGAAATGATCTTATTTCCATCGTGACTTTTTGTCATTATTGTCGATGCTCTTTTGCTCTTTCAGCAAATCGCTTTTGCCTCGATTCGACATTAATCTTACGGTGTGAAATGGATAAGCCCAGTTATGGGTTATCTGCCACTCCGGCAGCCTTCGATTGAATTTATTGCCGCGCCTTCCCCTCCTCCATGATAAAAATCAATTTCGTTATATATATCTCACTGGAAACCCAGTAAACACCAACTAATACCAACTAAAAGTGAACGGAACTTTTCCGTTCATTTCTCGCGGTAATATTTGTATTTCTGAACAGCACATGTTGATTATTTAAATATTGTGCTTTTAAAAAAATGTATCAGTGATTAGAAATGCAGTGGATCGTAAACTTATTGGATATCCGGTAAACTTATTACCGGATATCGGATATCCGGTGTCAAATTTTTTTCGAATATCCTTTATTTGATCGGATATTTCATGAGGCAATTGTTCAACCGGATATCGAATATTTCCCCGGATATTCTGCCGGATATCTAGAGCAAAAGGCTTCCAAAATAAAAGGAAAAATGCGCGATAATAATCTTTTTTATCTTCTCAACGTGGAAAGAAAAAGAGGAAAAATAAACTATACAAGAAATTCAGCTGAAAAGCATAAACTTCTGCATTAATGATGCAAGCTATTAATATAAAATTTCAGAATACTAATATTATCCGGCTGGATAGTAAAACATGCCGCATATACCGGGTGTTTATCTCCTTATTACTATTTACGTTTTATTGCTCAAGTTACTCTGTGTGCTGCTCCAACAATTACATATTACATTGTTCAGTATGAAATGTTATTACAATATTAGTTGATGTTTACTAAAAAGTTACATCGCGAGGATCCCTGATCTTTCACGAGACCGAAGTCACAAATGCGAGTCACGTGTCTACGGAAATATCGATAACGTCCAAAAGAACGCGGAGTAACATTTATACATATAAAATGTAAGAAACAGCTAGCAAGAAAATGAACTATCGAGTGGAAGAAACAGGTGATCGCTCGCGTAGCTGACAACCGCGCTTTTCGACGATGACAGAGTATGAATAAATATTGATCGGAACAAAATGGCTCTCTTCAAGACGTCACGCGTTTATCGCGCGATCGCCCTCAAAATCGACAATTTCGAAATATTCGTCTTACAAGACGAGCGCGCGTTTAAATATAGTCTCGCGGTCGAAGAGCGCGAGAACGCGTTTCTTCCTACGAGCCTTCGACCCACGCTACGGCCCAATTCCTTCCTCTCCCTCCTCCTCAATATTAACGAAGGAGTGCCTTCCGAGAGACGACTGCACTTTACGCTGACTATATTTGATATAATCGCTATGTAAGCTCGTTTAAAGTCTCGTCGCGTTTACGACTGCGACGCAAAACTTCGTCGTTTTCCGTTTAACATGGAGTATTTACTAGTACTTTACTCTCTGATAGTTAAATCCGTTGAATATAGGTTTTTCTTGATAGAAATTTTGTTGGTAGAGAAGTAATAGAATCTGCTAGTCAAATATGATGATTACCAAGGAAATCGAACGAAATCTGTCATTTTCACAAGTAATGTAATGTAATAGTTTTACATGTCGTAGTTTTTAGATGTAAATTTTAGACGTAATAGTTTTACAAATTAAAGTAAATATTATTACACTTTTTTATGTTCATAAAATATTATAGTAACATTAAATATTGTGATTCTTCGATAATCATATAATATCATCAGGAGTTGATATAACAATTATATAATCATCTACTAGTATTTCAAGATTTATTATTATTATTTAATATTATATTTATAATAATAGTAAAAAATTATTAAAACGTCTTATTTCTATTCTAAAAATACCCTTAAAATATTACTTAATATTAAATAATGAGATTGATTAAATAGCATATATTTGAGAGATAATGTTATCTAGTAGTGTCGAGGTAGATTTAAAATTTGTAAATATCAGTATTTTATAAAAAAAAAATAATAACACAGTATCAATCATAATTTCTTATTTAAAAATGAATTGCAACTTTAACGTAATAAATCGTTAATTTATGCGGGTGATTATAAAAATTTGAGCCAACGTAAATATTTAATGATATTTATAACTGATATTGTAGATGATAGTCGTTGTAATCTATTGCGTTGACATTAAGTTCTGTTGACAGATAGAATACGAGTTAATGTGGACGCAGCTGATGCCAATCTTCTGCGTTCTTCCGCTTCAATCTGCTACTTAATGTCCCAGCAAGCAAATTGCTTGCTCGCAATATGCCAATAAATTGGTAGCAGATTTATTCAGATATGATAACAAATCCAGTATCATTTATATGCGCGTTGCGCTCGTGTTTTGTTCGGCAGAATTTGCAGATGTACTCTAATAACAGATTATTATCGGCAAAAATCGACTATAGAATCTGTTATTTTGTGAATATTTAAACAGAACATATCATAATTTAATTGATTACGAAAGATAGATTTTTCTTGGTTTCTATAGGTATTTTATTAACAGATTTTATTACATTTCTGTTAGTGTTTCGCCGGCAAAATTTATGGCAGACATTGTGTAAGATCTATTCTTAACAAATTTGAACTGTTTTTCAACAGCTAACGCTCGATATTCCTAAAAGTAACATTTTAAGAATATTCTTGTATATTTCGAAATATTTACAAAATGTAAAAACAATATTTAGATAATCGAAAGTATTCCATTCAGATCGTTATATGTTCTCATAAGATGTTTTATATATATATTTTTGAAAAATATAATTCTTTCAAGAATACTAAGTTCTCCTTAAATTAATTTTTAAACAGAACTAAATGAAATTGCACTATCAATGATTGTTTACTTTCACTTTGGAGCTAAATTTTGGGATTAATCTTCACAAGTGAAATGCTGGGTCTTATTTTGTCCTAAATATGTATAGTTTTTGCTTACGAGAAATACTTCACCATGTCCATCGATCAACGGGGATTTATATTATTCGCGGGTGATTGATTTTAATTGCATATATTGTACATACAAGAAATATTCATTACATTTAAATATTTTATGCAAATTCTTTTATACTATTCCGGAACATTTGAAATATAAATCTAACATTTTATTTTATTTAACACTATCTGGATTAACTGTCAAGGCTGCACACACTTTTCAAAACAGTAATCGGAGACTATAAGAATTTTTCAACAATTTTTAGTTTTTACTGACTAATTCTTACGGTACGTCTTACAGAGATTCTATAATGAGTTGGTATAGTCGAAAGTCCTAAGCGGTCCTAAGTCTTAATCGATGAAGTTGGCTCACAGCCAACTTGTACTAGATTAAGTATTGGTTAAGACTTCCAATTATGGACTACTGACTCATTGTAGCACCCCCATTATAGTTAAGGTTACGAAAAGTGTATGCGGTGCCCTCAGGACTTTTGCGTGCTGAGATACATAGATTCGCACGGCAGAAGGGAATGTCGGAAATTATCAAGATCGCTCTAGATAGTTGCGGTTGGTATTAACTCTGATATTAGCGGGATGGAATCTGTTTCTGATTCATCGGATCGTTTTTAGTTGTTGCGCGCGCTCTTACATCAACTCTCGTGTTATAGCGAGTCTATTCTCGCCACGCGACGAATAAGAGAAGGCATATGAGGAATCTCTCCTTTTCCATTTTAAAGGAATGCTTATATGTACGAATAAGTTTTGTAATATTTAAAGAAGCTTTGACTTTTCCTTTTCGGTTAGAATTTTTATGTTTTCTCGAATGTATTATTTCTCTTGCTTGTATTAATACATTTATGTCTTTATTCGTTCAAAAGGGATTGATATGATCATTTTATTCTTTGTCGAAGAAGACCAAGGAAAGATCAACAATTTCTACCGATGAAAAATTTTCTCAGAATTCGTCAGATAATTTTTCAAAATTGCTATATAAAAATCGAGATAAAAATATATAAAATAATCTAAATTTATACTCCTCAGCTGAAACTAATTCTACGTGAAATTGTATATGAAAAAGAAAAGTAACATTTGTAATATCAGGAAATGCTGAGAGAATCGCTGATCCTTGTAATATGACATCCCTTTGTGACTCGTAGTGATCCCTCAAAAGTAACCATTCCTTTTATCTCGTAAATTAATAGAGATAGACCTTATAAATATAGTATGAAATTAAATGGTTCTAAGTGAACTCTATTATAAGCATAATGATCACTTAGAAGAATTATTCATGTTAAAGAACGAAGAGATACACATAATTTATGCAAGATAAAGTAAATATTTCGATATAATAAAAGTTGCTTTAATACGAATTACTTTACAAGTTATATAAGTTATTTCGGTTTATCATTTCAGTTTAAAAGTCACTCTTTGTCTATTTTTTTTGTTCGTATCTATTTACACTAACTGATCGATTAACTCTCAGAACACAAATAACATTGGCACTTTGAACGCCAAGGACGTTTCTTCTCTCTCTTTCCCTTTAATCGATGGACCCATGTTTAGTATTCAATGTTGGAAGAAATGCACGGCAAGAAACCCCACGATAATCCGTGCGCTTAAATAGAAGCTGCCACATCTGGCGGACAGACAATTGTAAATGTCCCGTACTTCTCTTCCCTCGTTCAGGTTCGGTTCATAAAGTGGCTCGTTAATCTCTCTCATTTTGCAACATCGCCAACATCGGATCTCGCGCGAATGCTTGAAAACTCCTTTGTGGACCAACTCGCTGTTTTGCAACTTTGTCATTCGAACAATTCCAAGAATAAATTATCAATAGAAGTAATCTTTTGACTAAAGAGGAAATGCACTTAGAAATGTTACTTGTAGTGATACTTGTAGTGGTTTTACTAACACAAAAATGCGACTTTATGATATTTGTGATTTCATAATAAAATGTACTTTTAGTACAATTTATCAAAATCGAGATATTTATGTTGTAAAAACACGAGATGTTTTGCATTTGATGTGTATAGCTATAGGATTTCATTGGTGCGTTTTTGTCGTACGACAAATGTGTGCAGGACAGAGACATCCTCTGATCTCTCTATTCTATAGCCAATCAACAGGCTTGAAAAATTTGTCGTACGACAAAAACGCACGAATGAAATAGCAGTCATAGCTATTAGGATAGAAAGATCCGAGGACCTCTCTGTCCTGTATACATTTGTCGTACGACAATTTAGATGAGACAACGCGGCGCATAAGATGATGCGCAACGTGATGCGTAAGGTGATGCATGTGAGTTTTCTTAAGAATAACGGTCACCGGTCGGAGTCATTTTGCGTATAATAAAGCAGCGGTACTAAAACGAAAGAAGAAAAACGGTACAATGCTCCTGTTGCAATTTCTTTGCTTTAAAATGGTATGTCAAAACACAAAAACATTGTCATACATAAAAAACATTGAAAAAAATAATAAATATTAATTCTTTTTTGGATCAACTTTGTGCTATATCTATAGTGTATAAATTTATACAGGATGTCTGAGATCACTTGTACACCCCATTTATCTTAGAAACCGAGCGTTTTAGAAAAAAATGTTTCGGACAAAAGTCGTAGGGTTCTAAATGATTTATTCAGTGATCTGATCAGTCTGACCTTGGGTGGCGTCATCAAGGTCAGAGCAATGTTTGAATTTTTTAAATAGAACCCCTTATTTTTCATATTGCATATTCTTGTAGTACATCTCGAGAGATTTCCAAAACAGTGTAATAAAATATTGTTTTATAAAATACTTTTCGAGTTATAATGCTTGAAAATTACAGTATCCCCGGCCGGCATTAGCATTGCCCAAGGTGTACCACGTGGAGGTTACTTCATCACGTAACTTTGACTCCCCTTCCTCTTCCCCATACACGCACGTACGCACGTATGCACACACTCACATATATCTAAGTTTATTGTGATTTCACAACAAGAGTGTAAAATCACAATAAAAATACTATAATGTTGTATCAAACATTTAGTTTGTGTTTTTACAACCAATTTGTGTTGGATAAAAACTTATAACATTTTTGTTATGATTTCACAACAGATATTTTTAACATAGTGCATCAAACCAGGCATATTCGCTAGTTGATTCTCTTTTTAAATAAACGATCACTTGGGGTGTTTTTTTTACACTCCAATTAAGATCGTTATTTAATATCTTAAGATGTTAATATAATTTTGTGATTGGTTTATGATATCTCTGATGACTATACTTAAAACGCTCTTAAATATAAGAATCGACTTTAAATACTGATCTAAAAATCACTATTATTGATTATATACATTGTATTATAGTGGTCAACAATTTATTAGTAGTATCTACATGTCTCTATAAAAGATATTTGCCACGACATAAATATTAGCCAATCTTCAGTGTCATAAATACTAAAAAAAAAAATAAGTTTCATTCACATCCCGATTTAATATTTTTAATTATTATATCTTTGGGGAAAAATGTAGGGACTAGCTAATTTTAATGTCTTACTCCGAAAAACATGATGGAAATAAGAATAAAACATATTTATTATGAAATAATGATTTAAAAGTTAAAAGAAGTCTAAACAAACTTTCCATGAAAATTGCAGACTTGCCTAAATCAATTTGAATATTTTGAATATTTATTGTAATAATAAAAAAAATTATTCCAAAGTGGTAGTCTGACATTTTATTTAATTGATATTCTAATAATGTAATTGAATTTTCAGAAAGATACTTTAATATAAAAGTTAAGTATATAGCTTATTGAGCACTGTCAGTAGAGGGAAAAAAAAATATCCCTTCCTATTTAAAAAAAGAATATTTTAATTAGTGATAAAAAACCAAGGACATTTAACATTTCTCAAAATCATCAAAGTATGCTTCCTTATTTAGCATGTAATTTTGATTAGAAATGTTTATCTCTCTCTCTCTCCCTTTGCAAGCATTTTCGAAAAAAATGTGGTAGAATTTTTTATCAGACTCATCCTGTATATTTCAGAATTTTTATAATTTAATATATCTTCTAAATTAAAGTAAATGACTCTGAATCTAAGTTGAGGATACTCAGTAATTATTTTTGAGTTATGTGTTTCTCGACCTACTAACTATAATCGAAGCTGCGTCTAAATTGAACATAGATGAATTAATAAAAACGAACGAACACGAATGTGCTTCATCTTTCGTCAAAACGTATATGATAAAGAAATGCTGATAGTGTCTTATCTTTGTTTTTTACAGATCATCTCGGTAACAGTAATTACAATGGTAGCATGTATGTTATCGGACAGAACGTATTTAGTATCCATCGCCGAGGAAGGAAACAACTATGAAGCAGGCCTGTACATTCTGCTTTTCACCGGAATTCTCATGCTTATCGTCTCCATTTTGGGCTGGTGTAGTGCTTTGAAACTTTTTCGGTATTGTCTGGCCACTTTTATTAGCATTATGCTCGTTATCATTGTCGCACAAATTGCATTCGGGGGCTGGCTTTACGTTCATAAAGACCGTTTGGACGAATTGGTGCGATCTTCCGTGATAAATACCGTTAAGGTAATCTCTTTCAATTTTAAGATGTATATTGTAAATCCAACAATTCCCACGAAATTATTTCTGAATGTTATTTACATGATAATTGTATATTATAAAAATAAGCATGTCCTATTATTTTTGTAGGATGAGTATGGCGAGATACAATGTCGCACGCAAATTATGGATACAATTCAATCCTCTCTTGAATGCTGCGGAGCTAATGGACCTGAAGATTGGGCTGGCAGCAAGTATGGAAAGCAAGATTCTTCTCAATCACGCCTCAATTTTGGCGTTTCAAACGTCGAAAACATATTCAGAATACCAAAATCCTGTTGCAAAGATACGGATAGCACAGCCTGCAGCCAAGGACGTCAAATGAAGATTGCCGGAGTCGTGAGCTCTGCGATTTACAGTGAGGTAATGTTTGTTTTTATATCGCTATATTAATCAATTGTTCGCTATTTGATCTTACGTAGACTTTATTTTTATTGCATTACAGTGTAGTGTATAAGTAAAAAAATTTGTTGTAGGGATGTATGGAAAAATTGGTGATTACACTGAAGACGCAAACTTATCACTTTTTGGGTGCAGCCCTAATAGTTCTAGCCCTAGAAGCTTTTAGTTTAATACTCGCTTTAATTTGCTGCTACAAGGGCGGATCGTCAGATAGATACAAGGCTTAAACTGATGTCATCGTGCGTATCATATAAGAATCTTCCCTTTACTGAGTGTCCCACAATAACAGCGTAATACCAAAAATAATCAAAATTTTGTTTTTGTGCCAACATCAGTGGATTGGTAAATTGTATCCTATGTTCTGCCATGTAAGACAAACGAGACGTTTATCTTATTTTCACATAGTACATATAATAAGTAACCAATTCTTATGCTGTGTATTATTATTCTGTACAAATTGGTATGCGTTATTTTGGGACCAAGATCTGACATATATATATAAGAGCATCATTATATTATTATTACTATTTTGTAAATAACTTGATATTTCTCTTTTAACATATAGAGAGTTTGTGTATTTTATAAAGTTGATTTTTACAAATGACTCATACTTGCAAGAGTGATACATTAAATCTTTTAATTGATTTATCTTAAAGAGGTACAAAGATATGACAGGTATTAAACTAAAATGTATAATTGTATGAAATTTTTATCGATATGCATATATAAATTTCGAAGGAAAATGATGTCTCTATGCAAATCGAAGTTATTCAATTAAAAAGATAATCAGATATTTCAACTAGTTGCATCAATTTAAACAGACATGTGTAACTTACATAATACAAGTATAATTATTTAAGATACATGCATATATATATATATTATATACTATATATCTATACTTATATACAATATATACATATATATATAATAAACATATAAATGTATATCATAAATATATATTATACATATATATTTATATATAATTGTATATATAAATATAAGCCTTCGAAAATTTGAAAATGACAGGAGGATTGTAGGAAGAAATTTGATTAGATAAATGCTTCCTAAAAATAATTTTAAATGCACTCTGATTCCTTGCGAATTTTATTGATTTTTATTATTATAAATTAGTATTTTAAATTGGTAATTATTGAATTTGACTGTTATCTTAGATTATCTTTTTGTGTGTTCCAAATTTTCTGCACTAAAAATCTATAATTCACGTTATGTATACTATAGATTTTTATTACTAGCAATCAATTTTGAAATACAGCCTATATTTATATCTGCATATCTTATACGACGATATACTGGAAAAGAATCTTAATTTTTCTTTTATAAGTATAGAAGAATTTAGATGCGAAAATTTATATACGGGCACTCGATTTTTCTGATTACTGCCAAATGCTCTCTTCTATATAAATATATATTTATATATTTCGAGTTTAAAGACTTGTGTACATAAGCATTTAACATCTTTCACAAAGTACCTACGCAGCTAGGGTTTCTTCGGGCCAAAGTAGAAAACCAAACTAACGCATTGCGTTGATATAAAGTAAAAATTATTATATTTTCAATTGCATAATGAGGTATTAGAAATATTATTTCTATGATAAAAAGTATATTTTGTGTTGCCTCTGATATTTATAATTTTACGAGCGCGTTTGTAATATCTCGCATTAAGTTGCTGATTTTTTTTTATTTTAAGTTTATCATTAAGATTAAAAGAGCCATTTTTCTTGATTAATCTTAATTAGCAGTGTAGCGTTTAATGATCTAAATATAGGAATCTTGAGACATTAAATGATAAATATCACTTATCGTGTCTTACACGGACTAACGTTTTCTTAGCGTTAATCTTACAAATCAAAATAAGAAAAGAACATGCACCTACTAATGATACAATCAATCTAGTAACTTTCTGCAGTGCGGTCGCATAGTGTCTAGTCTGTAAACGATTAACGTTAACTTATCTAACTACTTGCTTTATCTCACGGATATATGATATATTTTATATATTATTTTTTATATACATATTAATAATTTTTTATAGATTCTATACTATAGTAATATTCTAACTACTTGCTTTATCTTACGGATATATGATATATTTTATATATTATTTTTTATATACATATTAATAATTTTTTATAGATTCTATACTATAGTAATAATTGTTACCACCAATTTTACAAAAAAATTACTACTTATAGAGTTTACATACATAATGGTAAAAAATATATGTTCGATTTTATATAAATTACATTAACGCGACAAATGATTACACTGAGGCCATTGCTTTTGCAAGTAATGTTTTATCATATTTTTATTACGCTATTAAATCTAAATAAGTCTTCGAATGTTTATATCTAATGTGCTATGTAATGCTTGATTTCATTGGCATATATGTATATTGTTTGTACGCAATGACATAAGGACATATAAAAATTAATATTGTTAAACGTCGATATATATTACACCAGCCTTAATGTACGCTTTATTAATCAAGATTTTTGTGGAAATTTTTATTCCACATAGTCGAGTAATGGTCAAGTTTCCATGGAAATCGAACTTTTCGGAAATTCTTTTAAGCGTCTCAGCAATTATCGCAAGCGAAAATTCAAACGAGTAAAACAAATATTTAGAAACAGATAAAATTCATGATCGACCAAATTCAATATTAAATCATGATACAACCTTAATAAAAAAAGGTTGATAGAGGACGATAGAAAAATCCTATATCATTTTGAATATGAAATTTGGTTCGTAAATTCACTATTTAAATAAAATTTTATAGGAATCTTGTACAACTCTTATAGAACTCGATAAAAGTACGATAGGATTCATATCCGATCAATCGTGATCGCGATGTCGATGATAAAAAATGATATGATAATGAAATTTATAAAAAACACAATACAAATTTATAGAAATCCTATCGTTCTCTAATAAACTTTTTTTATCTGGGAATATATTTCGCCATTTAAAAAGAAATAAGAAAAGTAATGAAGTCATCAGTGTTATATAAAAGTTGTAATGCAAGCATAATTATTGCGTGTAACAGCGTGTAATAGCAATACGTATGTTGACTAAAAATCATACATATTTCTTCGATTCCGCATAATGGTACCTGTACACTCGCACAAAAATACACACATCTAATTCTCATACATTCTCGATCGGATTGTTCTATATTTCGATGTTACTTTACAAGTTTATTTTCTATAATGTGGATTATATTTTTACAACCTTTAGATGCTGTCTAACGTTTCATAGAGAAGATAAAAATATTAGAGATAAGTGTTTAGAAGTGTAAAATTGTATTGTACGAAGAAGAATTAGTGTCGATGCGTGTATAGGAGTAAAGCATGCGTTTCTCACTCGCTACGATAACTATATAATTTACTTGTGTTTTGTGCATTGTGAAATTAAAGTAATTACTTCCCGAACAAACTTCCATTCTGCATTCAGTATATGCAGTTTCCATGAATAAAAATATATACTCGTACACCATCAAATGATTTTTTCATCATTATTACATAATTAAAATTAGTCATGGGGTTAGTATTATTTATAATAAGTAAGTAATATATATATATCATAAGTTATATGTATCATTTTCGCTTTATTTTCAATTTTTATTATATCTTTTGTTTTATAAATGTTTTTTAAAATATAGATGTTAAAATCAGATAACAATATCATATGTAATCACGAAGAAAATTTTTCGAGGATATTTTCCTTGAACGAAACGTTGTCTAGAAGCAAAATGCAGAAATAAAATAATAATTTTTCGATTACAATCTCAGTGAAAAAGTTCTCATGATACGTCTTAATATTTTTTCTATTTTTGTAAAAACTTATGTAGTGTTTTGAAAAATATTTTGAACTTATTTCGACTTTTTTAAATTAAATTTTTTTTGTTTGTGTTAGAGTGACATATCTTGGAGATCTTTAAATATTTCAGAATTTATATATACATAGAATATATAATTTTAGAAAAAATGTAGCAATTCTGAAAAATGTTCATAATTTGTACAAAAAGAGTTGAGATTTTTTTAAAAAGTTATATATAAAGTTATACAAAAGTTTTAAAAAATTATAAAAGAAAGAGGAGAGAGAGAGAGAGAGAGAGAGAAATATAAAAGAACGAAATAATAGCGCGTAATGGAACAATTCCAGAGTTAATTCCGACAATAAGCGGGAGAGACATAATTGAAGTCTTTATTAATCTCCGTTCGAGGTGTACTCGGCACGGTCGAAACGAAACGAGCGTCTCTAACTGCGGTTTCCCATTGTCAGCCGCACCGTGAGTTGTTAATGACGACGGTGCGAAGCGAAGCGGAGCAAACGGAGCGAGCGAAGTGGGCGACTACAGATAGAGTCCAAGGAAGGAGGAAGGAAGGATCGAAAGGAGGTAATATTAGAGAAAGAAGATGCGATGCGAATAGCGAGCGGAGGGAACGAGGCTGACCGTGCGAGGAGAATTGGAGGGGCAGGTCTCGCTCGGTAGGCACCTGGGGCCCGCGAAGGGGCCCAGGAGGGAAGCGGGACCACAGGTGCGGTCGAGATGAAGCACGACCGTGCAATGTGGTGCGGTCCGTCGTGACGTGGAGAACAGGAGCCGCTCTCGCGCTTCCTGCCTCCCTTGCGGAGTCTCCTCTTGAGAGTCTTCGGTCTCGCGCGTCTCGCTGCTTCCGGAAACTTGAGGTCGTGAACGAATAAATGTATTTTTCGCAGACCTCGACAAAATTACGTATATAAATATATATATATATACATATATATATCGGTGCGACCTGCCGAAACGAGGTGCGTCTGATCGAATCTTTTCCTCCTGTGAAACAAGCGAGATATATAGCTCGACGGTGCATTCCTGGGACGGAGCGCACTCGGGGGTCCCCCGAGTCCCTCCCTCCCTCTCTTATTTTTTTTCTCTGTTCTTTTCGTCACGCGGACGGAATGGTAAGTGGTACCTCTTTCAACAGGTAAAAATTTTCTGTACGATGCTTCGTTTCTTTGTAAAAGTCGAGGAGTCTGATGCGGCGAGAACGTGTAATCGGATATCGAGAAGTTTTCTATAGAAGGCGCACCATCAGCAAAACGAAATTTCTTTCGTAATCCTATCTATTAATTAATTAACAAAGATTTTACAATTAAAAGAAGAGACATCAATTATACATATATTACGTCTACTGAAATTATTAAGTTCTGTTTGAGAATTACGACAGATTGAGTCAGTCGAGACTGAGTAGTTTTGAGTCGCCCACCGTTTACTTAGGATTGTCAAACGGAACTGCAATTTCGAAGCAATCGCTTTCTCTCAATGCCAGTGCTGACTGTAAGTAAGCGTGCCACGGCCATCTCACGCCGCGTGATCAAGCGCACGTTCTCGTACGTGTTCTAAGATATCCGAAAGAGCCTCAGAAGGCTCTCCTTCGTTCGATATCATTTGTCGCGTGGGTGAGCCAGTTCAATATTTTTCAAGTCGATATAACGACTCGGCGAAGTATTTTGAAGCTTCAAACTGCCGATAGATATGACTAGTGTTGCGTTTAGATAACTTAAAGAATTGTCTAGACATAGATAAAAGAAATCACACGTAAATATGTCTTAAATAAGACAAAGATGATTTTATTTTAACTTTTTCTATAGATAAAAGATGAATTAAAATCGTTTAATTTAGACAATTTTAAGATAATATCGCTTTTAAGTGATAAAACAATTTACGATATTTTTATCTATATATACCTTTATTTAAAAAAAGTTTTTTGAACATTTCGTCTAATAAATAATTTCTACATGATGATATAATGGTGCATGGTACATATATACATTTGTTGTCTACAACTAGAAAGATACGACTTTTGCAACTAAATCCGATAAGATATAGTTGAAGATAATGTATAAACTTAATTTTTACCACATTGAGCTCCTAATAAACGGGACTAAAAACGTAAGTGTATCAAATGTAGCCATTTTTTTAAGGAAATGAAGTTAATTTTTTATTTAACCTTGATGTATTCATCTATGGTCAAATTTTTTTAAATCGAAATGTATCCTCCTCGATATTAACAATTACGGAAAAACAAGATTTCGATATCTCGCGTGGTTTTGGAGGAAAATTCAAGTGTGTTAATTAAAATGTGAATTTTGAAATATTCTAAAATTTTTATAATTTGTCATTATAATTTATAAGGAAAACTTATGAAACCTTAAGATCGAAGTTTAAGATATTTTATAGAAATTTACTATAAACCGATATTTTAAACATAAAATATTACAGAATTTTTTAAAACAATAAAAAATAATAACAAATAAAGAAAAATAATAAGGTATTATAAAATATTACATTAGATTTATATTAAGTTTAATACCAAAAACTTAGGAGTTAAAATAATAATTTACTTTTAAATATTTAGCTTCTTATTTTAGTAAAAATATATAAAATTTATAAAATTTGTTTAAATGTAATTGTGCGTGTATTGTAATTTTAATGTAAATAATATTAAATAATAATTATATATTATACAATATATATATATATTGCAATTTTGTATGAATTTATAGATTGGAAGAGCGACGTGTGAAGGTCTTTTCGGCCAACGTTTGATCAGTCGTGTATAACGGCGAAATTGTTCCGAAAGTACGATCTTAGCGAAGTCATTGATCGCGATGAGGACCATCGTTTTCTATCTAATATTTTTCCTAATATCGGTGTCGATCGTTGGATCAATCAATGACTGCGAGGATCCCAATTTTCACTCTTTGGAGACCCTAGAGTCATCCAAATTGGAGTGTGGTCCAGCTTTTAAGAACCGCTGTCGCTGCTTCCGAACATGCTACGACGGTCACCATCAGTACGTCGTGAATTGCACGGGAACTGGATTCCAGGACACGTCCCCACTGGCGCATCTACCTAATGAGACGCAAGTGCGTAGACAATCGCGACCAAAGTCCGCGCCCGACTCTATTACATCACAATTAACGCGATGACGTATTAATACACACAGGTACTCATCTTTACGGGCAACGAGCTGGAGGAGTTGCCCTGGAACGTATTCGGCACTTTGGACAGCCTGCCGTATCTGAGGGTGATCGACATGTCGAATAACAAGATACGCGAGATACGCGGCAAAGCCTATCACCACGTGCAGCATGTGGAACGTCTTATACTGGACTTCAATGAACTCTCGTTGGATCCCGCGAGGAATCACCCGAGGGTATTCTCCAATTTCATCTCTCTTCTAGAACTACATCTGACCGATGCCTTTGAAGACGGTCCACCGAGAAATCTAGCGTCGACGCTCCATGACATCTTTGTGAACAGGTAAACTCAGAAGAAAACATATAGTAGTAGTAATTATAAAGGTGATAATTACACTATATAAGCTTTTTATGTAAAATTAATGCATGTACATACATAAATATATTGTACAGTTCAATAAATTGTTTTATAGTTGCAGTAACTTGAACGTAGTATTCAACTGTATACATTAATAATTTTACATAAAATTCGCATAGTTATTACTTTTATAATTACCACCACATTGTATATCTTTTTCTTTAAATGTATTTTGCGTCATCTTTTTATTTATAATTTTTCTTCCTTTTTTAACAAGAATTAATCATTTAATTGACGCTTCTTTTCTAGCAACCTCACACAACTGATAAAACTCCATCTCGAACAGAATGAGATCTCAGAGTTTCGAGACGTCAAAGTATTTTGTGATCTACCGAATCTCCTCGATCTTCATCTCGGCGATAACGATCTGAACGCGCTGCATTTTAATTTGTCGTGCTTACGCAACCTGCGCTTTTTGGATCTACGGCGAAACAAATTCACGAGAGTTCTCGAGCGCGATCTCCATACCATGGACAATCTCGCCAAGCACGATCGAAACGTAACCGTCGATTTTTCCGGTAATCCTTTTGAATGCTCCTGCAAGCTCAATCCGTTCATCAAGTGGATGAAGAAGACAAAAGTGTTCATCCGAAACAAAGCCAACTTACAATGCTATAAAGATAAAGGTATTAATATCACGGTTAAATAAGTTTTTTCACTGAAACGAAAAGAAGAATTGTATGGAAAATTAGGTATCGATAAATTGAGTCGGTTTTTCACACACCTATTACGTAGCTTATAATTTGGTGAAAGATTTGTGATTGTTAGAATCAATAATCACTACCTTTCAGTATTAAATTAAATTTTTGTAAAGATATACAATTATGTTAATTGATAATCTAACACAATTATTTTCAAATCAATATCTGACTTAATTTTCTTCAGCAAAATTATTTTTCCCATACGTTCTTTTTCAAATAAAATTAAAGTCAAATGAAATAAATGAAGGATATTTAAAGAACGTATAAACTTTTGTTATATATACAATATATTAGATACAAGTTTTACGTCTCTTCTAAAGCAAAACTAAAGAATTGTCCATTGTCAAATTTGATGTCTATGACATCTTCTATTTATCAGATCATGAACTATTAATCATATGTGTGAAAATATTAATTTATTTTACTAGGATTTAATTGCCCAATGTAACTAATGTGAGATTTTTTTAATACACTCTTATCTTTTTTAGGTAATGTAAGCTACGACTTCCACGAAACGAAGAATTGCGCTCCAAAGCTGCTGGTTTCCACTCGGCGAGGAACTACGGTGGTGCTTTGCTTCCTCTCGATGGTGCTGATCGCCCTCGTGTGCGCTTTGGTCTATCTACAAAGGACAATGCTTCAGAAGAAAATTGAGCCGGTGATTGATTCGGTCAGCAAGAGGGTGCGATACACCTCAATAGCGAATGGTGATAATCGCGAGGATGTGTGAACAAAGAAAGAGAAGAGAGACTGCAAACTATAAGTTTTTATTTGTTTAATCAAATTGAAGGCAAAATTTATAATTTATTTTAGGGAAAAGAATAAATGGCGTTTGATTAGATGTTATTTATTAGTGTTATATTGACAATTTCAAATGAAGTTTCAAAAGAATTCGAATATTCTAAGTTAACTATGAAACTTCAAAGTTTAAGGTTTAATTCTACAATTCACGGTTAACTTAATCAATGTTCAATTTAATTCTTATCTCTTTCCTATTTTTGAATTATCACCGATTATTGAGTGAGTGGTTGACAAGTTTTGTCATATCGTATAGAAAATAACTGTCGCTAGATTTATGACTTTTCTTACAGCTGTCGAAATCAAAGAAATCGTCCCTGATCGTAAATAATTATAATCGTTAGCTTTTTAAAATTATTGAACATAAGGTAATTGTCGCCGATAGTGAGTGCAATTTTGGATAATGATAAGTACATGGCCCATTCTTAAAAAGTAAAGTTTATTTTACGAATTTTGTAATTTAGCTCTACTTGCACTTCTTTTCTTATACCTTTAGAGTGAAAAATCTTTATCAAAGGCGACAGCTTTGGTATTCATTGTTACGCGATATAAATATATTTTTTGTGTCTCTTCCTTTAAAAGGGAAAATCTTCCATACTGTTTATTTTAAAGGATTGTACGTGTGTTTCCATCTTTCATGGTTTAGCACAGCCAGCCACGTATTACTGGTACTTTTTTTTTAATTGACGCTTATGAGTTTTGACGAATATGATATTTGTTTATATGCTCGAATTTCTTTTTAGCTATATAAAAAAAGAACATTCTTTTTTAATTGTTAACTGATGATTATACTTGATCCTCACAAATGCCATCAAGAGTCGCGACAATGGTTCAGCAGACTCAACCGTTGCGGAGCAGATCCGTGAGCGCTCACTGTTATTGGTATATTCTTTTAGATCAACCAATAGCAGCGAGCGCTCACAGATCTGCTCCGCAACAGTTGAGTCTGCTAAACGCACCATTAATTCTTTGACAGATTCTTTTGAAAAAAAAAAAGAATCGTGAAGTCTGCAGGACGTAACATAATCAAATAATGCAAAAATTCAAGCCTTACTTTATTTCCATTAAATGAAGTAGATAATAGTTAATAAAAGAAATCATGTCAGTTTCTTCCTTTTCCTAAAATAAATTCTTAAATTTCGCTTTCATTTTGATAGAAAATCTCATGTCTCTTTTTAAGATAAAAATTTCGTTCTCATCTCGCGGCATCGAGTTCACGAGAACTCAATTTATCCGTTTATTTTGAAGCGAAAAGTGATAGGCACAAATCAAAAATCACCTTTCGAAACAAGCTTTGCGCGCGCAAAACTTTTTCGTAAAATATCTTCTAACGATATCGTTGTTTTATGCTAATTGTAAGTTAAATTTCATGCTCGAATTTCTGTGTCAGCGCATTTTTCAGGTACTGCATTTTTAGTCAGCGTCGTCAACAAGCGATATCGAATTGTGATTAATGCTATTTAGTATTCAAGTTAATATTACGATATGTATTCCGTTTATAAATAAATATTATTTATTACATCTATAAAATTTATTTCTTTTACAGATTGATTGTACAGTCTTTACAATTTTGTACACGACATTCTGGTTTTGAAATTTATTTAATTTGTCTTTATATATATATATATAATGGACTTTGATGAAAGAAGATAAAGTATTGAAAATTCTATAGCCGATTGTGAAGATTGTTTTATTAAGAAATGAAGTAATTGAATAAGAAACTTTAGGTATGAACGGTACAACAAATAATTTTTTCTTATTACTATTATTGTTTTGATTGTCAGAATTCGTATTGTCAACGTTTTATGTAGATATTTAATTTACCATGCATATCATTTTTTAAATTCTTTTATTTATGCAGTTGAAGATTAGAGACAACAGATAGCAATTTTGTAGGAGTATGTTTATCATTAATTCAATGTTCTTTTTATGAAAAGAGGGGTAGGAGAGAAGGATTGCTGTATCTACTAAATTGCAAACAGATCCAATTTTGTGGGAAATAGGATGGTTGAAAAAAAAGAAAAGGTATCTGCCTGAAAAGATTTTTTTATGGAATCAGTCTATAATGATTTTATTATCTTCAACTGTTAAAAAAAGGTCCAAGAAGCTCAAAGATCTGTTATTTTCAATTTCTACCGTAAATCGTAATCTGTCATGGAAACTGTTAAAAAGTGGTTAAAATATTGTTAATATGATTTCTTGATGAAATCATAATAATATCGTCAATATATTTATAATATGTAGACTGCAAGATTTAGAGGAATGTTTGTGAACATAGAAATAACGTCCAATGATAACAAAACTGAATTGCCAATCTTAGTGCCATTAAGTAATCTAAAGGCATTAAGTAATTCGAAACTGTTATGTGCTTGTCGTGGATTTGTCTTTACACTAGATGTGATAATTGAATGTAAGAAAGATGCTACGAGATACAAAGGGCAGTGTTAACAGAAGAAACAATAATTCTAAAGGGGATATTTTCCTTGTGAATCTTAGGAATACCGTAAATTCTCGGTAAGTTGGAATTATTGGAGTATAGTGTAAAGTAAATATTTTGAAATTAAATTTTTATCTCAAATTAAATCTTTGATGACACGGCGAAGCTAAAGATCACTGGCGCCGCGTTTCCTCTTCCTTTTCGCCACTAACTCACTCGTAATAAGGATGTGTGTGTGTGCGTTATGCGAAAGCCGTACTCTTTTCGTACTCGTTCGTGCACGACTTTTTGAATTCAACTCATATCACCTTATCAACGGCTATCGGAGCGTCGACATCTTGTCGAGATTAGATATGGCGTACAATATATTTTAAGTTATATCTTAAAGACTGTTGTTTGTCCAAAGTGAGGAAGTGTCGCGAAATCACTTTAACGGATGTCGTAACGTTTTAAACAATTTAATCGTCCTTTGCGTAAATATCGCGTCGTTCATTAACTAGAGAGCCTGTAATAACAGGCTGTCATTACAGGCGCTCTATCATTAGGCGTTTTTTCGTTATGCAATCAGAAGCATGCCGCGACTAAGGCTATCTTTGTCTTCTGATCCTGAAAACAAAGATAGCCTTAGGGTTGATTTATACTGGCCGTAATCTGTTAACTTATACCGTAATCTGTAAAAATTGACCAATCACAGTCGAATGAGAGGGTAATAATAATCGATTATAATTGGTCAATTTTTACAGATTACGGTACAAGTTAACAGATTACGGCCAGTATAAATCAACCCTTAATCGCGGTAGCTTTTGGTAGCTTTTGGTTGGATAACGAAAAAACGCCTATTAACTCGTGGAGCGTTTTACGCTGAGCTCGACAAAAAAGATGCCGCTCGTCGAGCGATTTCGTCTCGACGAGATCGTCACTTCGTACCCAGAGCTCGGACCAACAGCTCCGGATGGTGGATACTCGTGGTTTGTTCTCCTAGGTGTTATCTTCATTCAGGTTCGATTATCACACGTGTATCTTAATGATGAAGTTGTGCTTTTGTTCAGAGATCAGATTTCGTGATTCCATATTTTTAGCATTAAATACTGCGTATGTGAGATGCCCGATTCTGTATTAAAGTATATCGTATTTGTATATTTGTTCGTTAAAATCGAGAGAATTAAAATTATTAAATAAAACTGGATGTTAAAATAAAAAAAATAGTTGGTATTTTGACGCAATACAAGGTATTTAAAAATAATATTGTATGTAAAATGGAATATATAAAATTCCAAGAAATGAATCAGACACTCAAAGTAAGCCAATGTGAATCAACATAAGATATTTGTACGTAAAAAATATATTAGGAGTACAAATTAGTTCGGTCCGTTTTCCAAAATGGTTCCAGCTGTTGTGAATGGTTCATAGTGACAGCTGATTTTGGCGGTTTCAGAGAGGTTAGACATCTGCTAATAATATTCAATTTATATCGCTTTGAGTTTCATAAAATAACCTTGATTTTTACTATGTTTGAAATATCGAATTTTGTGTTAACCAAGCAGCATTTGCGGGAGGTTTTAATTTTCTGCTTTAATTGGAAGAAAAGTGCAGCTGAAGCCCAACGAATGCTTGTCGAAGTTTATGGTGATACTGCTCCAACTGATAAATCATGTAGGGAATGGTTTCGACGTTTCAAGGATGGAGATTTGAGCACTGAAGACAAGCTTCGCTCTGGACAGCCAAAAAAATTCGAAGACAAAGAATTAGAGGCATTATTCGAAGAAGATCAGAGTCAAACGCAAGAGGAGCTTGCAGAATCATTGGAAGTATCTCAACAAGTCGTTTCTGTACGATTGAGAGCCATGGGAATGATTCAAAAACAAGGAAATTGGATGCTTTATAGTTTATGAACTGAAACTGAGAGACGTTGAAAGGCGATTTTTTACTTGCGAGCAGCTGATTGAAAGGCAACGAAGAAAAGGTTCTTTGCATCGGATTGTGACTGGAGATGAGAAGTGGATATTTTACGACAACCCCAAGAAGAAAAAATACGCTAAGCCCGGTCAATCGTTGCCATCGACCTCAACATCAACACCAAAGCCGAACATTCATGGTTCGAAGATCATGCTCTGTATCTGGTGGGACCAAAAGGGTGTTGTTTACTATATGAGCTGCTGAAATCTGGCGATTCCATTACGGGCAATCGGTATCGGCTACAATTGATTCGTTTGATCCGTGCATTGCAAGAAAAACGGCCAGAATACGAGCAAAGACATGATAAAGTTATTTTTCTTCATGACAACGCTCGGCCTCATGTCGCAAAAGTCGTAAAAAAATATTTGGAAACGCTTAAATGGGATGTTTTACCGCTGTATTCTCCGGACATTGCTCCTTCTGATCACTGGTTGTTCCGAAGGATATGCAACACGATTTGGCAAGTCACTGGTTCACTTCTTTCGCAGAAATTGAAAATTGGCTCCAAAATTGGATCGCCTCCAAAGACGAGTCATTTTTTCGAGATGGAATTTGAAAATTTCCTGAGAGATGGGAAAAAGTAGTAGCCAGCGGTGGATAATACTTTAATTAATCTGTTCATTCATTTTGTTTTGAAATAAATTCATTTTTGAACACAAAAAAACGGACCGAACTAATTTGTACTCCCAATACATTAATGAATAAATTACAATTATATATAATTAGACGTTTCAATTCTGTTTTTGAGTCATCTTCAGTGTTTACACTATAAAAGATTAATAAGTTTTCATTTAAAATAGAGCCAGATTTTTCAGTACACTAAAAACATTCGGATGTTGATTTTTTTAATTTGGACATTATAGTTTCACGATGTGCTTCGAGTTGATCAATGTTGATCTCAACATTCTGATTTTATTGTAAATGAAATATTTATTAATTTTGTAGTATACTAAAGAACCTAAAACTGAGTTGAAACATCTAATTAATTGTAATTTATTTATTAATTATATTTTATATACATAAGTATCCTGTGTTGGCTCGCATTGGCTTATTTTGTGTCTGTGTTTAGATATAATTTATTGACATATATTTTTATCTAAAAGGAAGAGTTATTCGTATCATGCAGTGTTTTTTACTTTGTTCGATGCATAAATGATGCGCTTTGTAATGCGTTAAAAATCATTTTGTTCCAGGTGTTACTTTGTTTACGATGTAAGTTCGCTGGATACAAGAAACGCATGAATCAAACAATGATTTTTCGTTAACAATTTGCTATATGATAGAATAAGGGTGATTATAAGAGTACGCATCATCTAAGTCAGTTTAAGAGTATGCATAGTTGATATCTTGATATTAGCAACCGTAATTTAGTTGATGTTACCGTATCAAAGTTCTAACAATGTATGTAAAATTGTATAGAAAATTGTAGAAACAGTTTTATTGTATTATTTGATTACGTCTTGAAATTAGAGGTAAGTTAATATTCTATCAATTATTATAACAAATTTTGTTTCTAGATTTTAAGTGTATCAACGTTAACAAAGGACACTTCTTACATATTTTATTATTGTAATTAGAGGGTACTCTTTCTATTGTTTATAAAATACAATATAAGTATACAGCTATCATATATCTTTCTTTGTATTCATCAATCTTTTAATAAACTGATTACATGTCGTCTAAGAGTATGCAATACTTTGGAAAATTAGAGAATATAAATACTCTTGATCACTATTATGTATGTATTTTTACTTGTTTTACTGTTTATCGTATCTGAATACGTTATGAATAACTAATGATTTTATATCATAAAAAATAAGTAATTTATTTATTTTTGTTAACATTGCGAGAATGACCCGATCGGTGTCGAAACGTTTGTTATATTATTTGTTTATAGTTTATTAAATATATTGTCTTTGTCCTTTTCAACTGTATTATTTTTATTTTGGATCGTTGCCTGTTAAAATATTAACTTTTATTCATTATTGTCGAGCCTTCTCTTAATATTATTAATTTATTTATTTTTATTTTTATATATAAAATGTAATTGAAAAATTATAAACTTTAATAACGATAATCAAAATTATAACGTATTTTTTTGTTAATTATTTATTAGAATTCTAGAAGATTTTATCAGAAATAAATCACAGAATTTCTGTTATCTTAACTGAAATTTTAATAAAAACCAGAAAATGTTGAATCGTCCATTTTTCCTTAGAAATTTTTTTTAGTGTCTACAAAGCCTATTCTGATTTTAAAAGAGGAATACTTATATGCGATTACTGTTAAATCCTGAATTGCTTACTCTTATCCGACATCATTGCATATACTCTTAGACGCCCCAGGTAAGAGTACGTACATTTTTGTTAATATAAATTTTTATATATTGTAATAGTATATATCAGTGTTGGCAATAACGCGTTTTTTATAACAATTATTATCGTTATTATTAATTCTTTCTGATAACAATCGTTTTTTTCTGTTTGTTAATATCGTTACATTTTTACAGTAATAGCAATTAACGAATTTAGCTGTTTACTTTTATATCGTCACTTTAATTAACCTTTTTAATTCTAGTGTATACATTTAACAATTTATAATGATTATAATTATTATTATGTTTGCAAGATTTTTCACATGCACTTCATGTAAATATAAATTATGTTTATTTTTAAATAAAATTGTATTATAGGCAAAAGTTTATTCTTAAAAAATATATGTACTCTTACCCGCCTTTTTCCTACGTATATCCATTCTGTTAGTGTCTCAATAATTTTGTTTCTATAAGATAATTTCAATAGAATCTCCAACGGAATATATTTCTATATTTTTTATGATCTGCACAATGCGTCTACTAAATCTGGAGACACGGTAGTGTCTCGGCGCTAAGCCAAGCGCGCGACTTGCCGTATATACCATACAGTGCATTCCTTGGAAACAAAAGATTCTAATATAGTATTTTATAATTTTAATATATAATTTTTTGTTGCTTATATTTATTCAATACTTTTAAGAATTTTTCGTATTTTAAATTTATGATAATTTCTTAAAAATATCTTAAACTGAAAAAATCTCTTAACCTTTTTCAAATTATTTATACGTTTTTTTAAACAGAAATTTTATTGTATAATAAAATAATAACTCCCTTCTCTCTCATTTAGAATATACATATGTATATATATATATATATGTATATTTAGCTTATACTGAAGTATACATATAAAGAATTGTATGGATACACCGTGTGGGAACACCGTGTGATGTTGTCCTTCATTTTTTTTATTTTTTGCCGAGCTAGAAGAAATCAATAAAAAAATTCTTAAAAAAAGTGGATTTTTAATATTTAAAAATCTACTTTTTTTAGAATTTTTTAATTTTAAAAATCCACTTTTTTAAGAATTTCTTTATTGATTTTTTATTGATTTCTTCTAGCTCGGCAAAAAATAAAAAAAATGAAGGACAACATCACACGGTGTTCCCAAGCGGTCACCCATCCAAGTACTAACCGCGCTCAACGTTGCTTGACTACAGTGATCGGACGAGAACTGGTACTTTAAAACGTGATATGGAAGTTGCCCGATTACCACGCTTACTTAAAGAAGTTTTATGGTATTTCATGAGTTTTATCATTTCAAGAAATACAATTTCTGTTTAGAACACTTTATTCTAAATTGCTTTCTTATTAAAATTGAAATATACAAATGTTTTTTTAAATTCAAATACCTCCTATTTATATAAAATGAGAAATATTGTAAAGAGATTTCTTGTTCTATAATTTTTTATAAAAATTTAATAAAATTTAAAAAAGTTTAAGGTATTTTTCAGAAATCTTCATAAAGTTGAAATGTTTTTACACATTTATATTAAAGAATTCTAAAACAGATATAAGTTTTCTTAACATTTCTAAAAAGTGTTTTAATTGATATAAAATATCTAAGAATTTTTTCACAAAGTTATAAAATTATACAAATATTCTAAAATGCAGTATTTACATATAAAAATTCTGAAAAAATTATGTAAAGAATTCTAAGAAAAATTTTTATACCACAAAAATGAAAAGGATAGAAAAATTTACGTAATACGTTTGTAGAATACGAATACAGATACCATGCTATTGAAATGTGTAGATCACGGTGCCCAGCGTTCTGCCGATGTACGGTATAGTGCGAGGATATTTAATCACCAACGATTCATCGTTTTGCTTCGATTTGTGGAGCGAAGTCACTTTGGCGCCTCTATTATTCGTTGCATTTTGGAGCTTAGCAGGTGTTTATCTTATTTCGGTTTTTGTTTTAATATCATATATCGGCTTCTTATTATCATTCACTTCTATTTTCGGTCTTCCAGATCCATGGATCAAGGCCATGACAGATCTGGCGTCGATACCACGACTGGTCGGTCTCATCGGCGTGGCTCTTCTCACCACGGGTGTCATAGCTTCCGGCTACTTGGCGACCGGCGGAGTGGGCGCATATTTAGTCGGTTTGAGCGCCGGTGCGGTGATGGGCATAGGGGCGAGTTTTGTGATTATCGAAAGCGAAACCGTGCTGCGAAGACATTTCAGGGTGAGACTGCCGTTGGCGCTGACGCTGAAGAACGTTGCCATGTCCGTCGGCTTTACTCTTGTGCCAGCACTCACAAATTTCCTGCTTGCGAAAACCGACCTTAAGACCGGACTTTTGCTGATGACGATCACCTTTATTCCTACTGCCTTAGGCACCCTGACCTTGCGATTTCCAGCTCCGCAGCGAGCATCCCCTTATAGGTAACGTCAGGGGGATATTCTTGTCCCGTTTCTAAATTAAAACTCTCGCATTGATCTCTAATTAAGCAAAAATCATCTGTTTGAAATTTAAACCAAACCACTATACACTTTTTATTTTAAATCTTTAATTCGGGCCGCAATAAAAATTTCTAGACTATAATTGGCATTTAAAAGTGAAAAGCTATTCCCAAAATTTTAATCAGCGAGATGGGAATCGCTTAGTACAATGAAATATTTAGAAAAAAAAGATAAAGATTGAAAATATAAAGATAAGTAAAAAAGTAAACAAATCCTTTTTTGTTGACAATTTAATTATTGCAATTTAAAAAAATTTGATTAAACTCCAAATTATAAAGATTTAAAACAAAAAAGGAGATCTATGTTTTCTAAAATTAATGTGAATTAAAAAATTATCTCAATGCTACGAAATACATGTTTGTAAAATTATAATATCGCGTTTTCATCAACAGGTTACTTCTGACCGATGAAGATAATGAATTGGGCATCAGGATATCCTCGGATAGAGAATCGGAGTTTGATCAATGGAATAACGGCACAGATAACATCGGCTATGACAAAAGCGATAAACAGGATAGTAATGTCGAGGCTTCGTTTAACGAAGTGAATAGCATCTACGCTTATCAGGAACTGGACGAAGACGTCGAGCTCTTCGTCAATCCGACCATGCAATCTGACGGCAAATGGAAGCAAGAGTTTGGCGTGGCTTGCTATTTCAGATTTTGGGCGGTCATAGTGACGTGGATCGGGATGAAGTCCGGCTCGTTTTTCTTCTGGATTCTGGTAGCCTCCTTATTTCTGCAACGAACGGAGCCGTTTTATTGTACGAGTGACTGGGTGATGTTGTTGGTGACTGCGGGTATCGGTTCTTTTGTACCCAGCATCGCTAGCTACTGGTTCATCGTCACTACCGCTCAGTACAGAAGAATATATTTCGGTGGCGCCTGTTGCCTCAGCAGTATTATTTTGTTAAGTGCGTGAGATGTGTATAAAATCTTGCATTTTTTCAACATTTCGAAATAATATATTATGATAATATAATTATCTCTAAAATACTCTAAAAGATATGAATGTGAATTTAACATCGTGCGATTTAAGACATATGGTATTAAATCCATATCTCAATGATGTTCACATAAACACCATCATGATGTAGATTTAAAACCGTGATATTAAATCCACACCGTGTTTGTATTAATTTAACATTAATACAGTGAGATTATATAGATACCTGATGTTAAATCTACACTGCTATTTTTTAGAGTGCATAATATATATATATATATATTACATCTATATTTTATAAAGTGTAACGTTTAATAATATTTTATTAATGTTACGTTTTGAATCTTAATATTCATTGTTAATATACCGAATTGTTGAAACGTGCGAAGCAAGACGATCTTGAGTTATTTTAATTCTCACCAGTCTTTTATCTGTAGGTTTAAGTTATACATATAACTATTACTGGTTTCTTACGTGGTCGCTGCTCGGTGGTGTCAGCATCAGCACTCTGCTCGTCTGCCAAGACTTGACGTTCTGCGACATGCTTGGGAATCAATTTGCACATCGCTCTTACAGATTGTTGTCTACCATTGTCGGTCTGAGCATGTTGGCATTCTATTTTGTGCACAGTATGTATCTTGAAAAATATCGATTTTTATTTTTTCTTTATTTCTTTTACAATTTTTTTGACGAAGATTTATAAATTTTATTTCTTTGGTACGTCCGATGCGCCTGATATGATGATAATAAAGAAAAATATTCGGCTAAAGGTCTATAAAATTTATACTCTGACGATTGCAGATGAGAACGTATGCATTCACATAGTCGCATTGATGCAATTTCTCGGTGGATGTTACTGGATCATGCCACCCATCTGGAACATCATACATACGCGGAAGTTGAGAGAGGGTTAACAAAAGTCATTACAAAATAAATTAATTAAAAGTCATTGCATTAAATTAAATTAAAATAAATACAATAGAAATCGTAAATGCTTTATGTTGGAGATAAAAAGCTGAATACCATAATATTACAAGTAATATTATCCATCATGTGATTTTATAATATGATTATCAATTTTAAAGAATTAACAGATAGAAGTAGAAGAAAAAGAACATATCATCATGTGACTTTCCAATTGATTTGGAAAAATTCGTTATGTGATTTATTTGTCTTAATGGTTTCGTTATGTAACATAAACTTTTTCAGAAGAGACAAATTTATATTATGTTAAATATTGAAAAATATATACATGTGCTCCGAGTAATGTGAATTATGTAATTAAAAATACGTGATTACTTTATTTTTTACGCCATATGTTGATTCATGAATTATATATAGCTGATTTTGTCAAGAATATGATGCAATATGTCTCACGTCACAAGAAGTAACTTTACTTTCTTGTAACTTGAACGAGGAGCAGTAGAACAAGTGATTTTTACATTGTATAGTTGTGTACCTATATGTAACCATAATATAAAGAGTAACGTGAAACCTTTATTAAAATATCTTTTTTAATTATCGACATATTAACAATGCACATCATGGTATTATCACATTGATTACTCTCTTATCTTATTAACAAATTTAATCTATTTATATTTACCAAATTTGCTTAGTATACATACAATCGTATTTCTTCATTTAAATATTTATAGTTATACATTATTGGAATATGTACTAATATGCACACATTTCATTTGAATACATCAAAATAGACAAAATTATATCACAAGATAATTGCAAGATAAAACAGAATGAATAATATCTCTTGACATCTTACACGCAATTTTCTCTCGAAAAGAGAAACATAAAAAAGACATTGAAATTTTACATGCATATCTTCTGATTATATTTAAATGATAATCAATTATCGCGTTACAATTAATAAGTAGAATAAAATAATGGAAGAACTTTGCCCATTTTTGAACCAATCGCGTATAGTTATCAATTGTATATCATTTTGTAGATAATAATAAAATTGTAAAAATTAAATTTTATTATTCTGTAACCTCTACATTAAGCAGATGCTTTTAAAAATATCTAATTCATTTGCGGTAGGTCATTATTAGATTTGTTGAAGCTAAGAAATATGTCATTAACATTTTTAAAAGGTAATCATACGACTTCAGGAAAATCTTCGACATATTTTAAATATTAGGAATTAATGCATTACTTAATAATTAATAATAAGATAATTTATAGGTTCTTAGTATTTAAAATAAATGAATTAATAGTAAAAAAGGCAATTAAAAACATAATTCACTTAATTAATACTAACGTATATAAATTACAATAATATTTTATACAGTATATTTACTTCATAGAATTTTATATTACATTCATTCTTCTTAAATTTAAATTTATTTAATCTGTAAACTCTTGCTGAAGATGACCTAAATTCGTATACATATGGATGTTTCGGCCCCATTTTAGATCATCTTCAGCGAGTTTATAGATTAAATAGATTGCGTTAACAATTAATCATTATAATTGAAACAAGAACATTGATCTATATTTTTGATAATAGTCGTTAGACAATCTGTCTACATCAAGGTGCACAATGTATGAATGATCAAGTGCAACAAATAATATGACTACATATTAATTATATATTATTTGTTATTTGCACATATTATTTGGCTTATCAAATATTAAATCTTTTTATGACCGTACAATTGATAAACAATAAACAAACAAGAAGAAAAAATTGTTAATCAATTGAATTCGTGATATTACTGCGGTAGTAAGTATGTATGCGTCAATGCTGAAAACTTCAGCGTCGCGATTTATATGGGGGATACTACATACGCAGTATATAAAATTCACACATAATTATAATAAGCATTGTGATCCAGATTTGACCGTTATTGGTTTCCTTCTTCTTGTTTATTTGATTTATGACTATATATTTTTTGTACATCTTGATGTGAACAAATCGTCTAATGACTATCAAAAATATAGATCAACGGTCATGCAATTTTAAAATAAGTTGTTTTTTATTGCTTTTATTAATATTTTAACATAAAATATAATAAAAGTAAATTATTTATTCAGTCTAATCTTGTTTTAACATTAAAAAATTAATGAAAAAAATAATGAATCGTTACTTTTTAAACAATAGTAACGGTAATTACAATTTTAATTCAAGATAACGAGTTACTTTAAAAAGTAACTTTTCCATTTCTGCTAAATACCAAATGAAAGACATGATATAACTGACATATAGTATGGATATCGTTTTTATGTGTGTTGTCATTGTACAGTGACAGCACTGCAAGATGTACACAGAAATAAATCTTGTGAGGATGAAGTAGATAAGAAAAAGGATCTAGAAATATTTTTAACTACTTAATAAGATTATCAATTAATAGAAATATTAAATTAATATACCTCACATATCACATTAATAAGGTTCTAACTGATCAGTAGTTGTTTTTATGTATAGTTGGCATTTATGCAGTTAATTTATTCTTTATGCTCTACAATTTGACATACGACTTATCTCTACATGCAGATGGCCCAAATCTATATATAAAATGAGCAAAGTTTTACTGCCTACATTTCCCTCTTATTATATATATCATAAGAATATTCGTTCATAATAATTGCTTATTGTGCATAATATTCTTTTGTATTAATTCATAATATTTATGATGGTATTTATGATATTTTATTTTTTACTTAATTTATTATATTTATGAAATGTATTAATAAAAACTAGACCTTATCTGCTTTATTTTATTTTAAGACTTAATTACCCCAGATAACACAAAATATTCTCTGAATATTCTTGTAAAATATAAACATTTTAAATTTTAGAATATTTAAATTGAATGTTCTATAAATGTACATAGAATATTCTATTTAGAAATTCATATTTGTAACAAAACCAACATAGAATGTTACTTGGAATTCGTAGAGTTAATGTGCAGTGTACTGTATGGACAACATCAGGCCTATATAAAATAAGTAGAATATTCTATAGTACATCGTATAAATTTTATTCTATACATGTTCATAAAACATTTACAATGTCATTCGAATATATTATGAATATATTGTTAATATTTGATAGTATTTGTTAGTATGTCTACAGAATATTCTTAATAAATATATATTTATAGAACATTCATAAAATTTTGTGTGCTATCTAGAACAATATCGGAACCAACGATATTATTAAAAATTAGAACCCTTTTAAATGCTTTTATAATCATTGCTATATTGATAAATATAACAAATATAGAAATGTCGATATGTAAAGAATTCTCCACACACAATATAAGATCTGCGTGTATTCATAAAATTTTTCATTTTCATGATTTGTTTTCTTATCACCAGTTTATCATTGCCTGTTTCTTAAACTACTTATGCCAGTTTATCATTGCCAGTTACTTAAATTACTTTTGGCAATATATATATGTATATATCAAATAGAAATCTATATAATAATTTAATTAAAACTATACTTATAGAAAGAATATATAGTTATATATACAGAGACGTTTATCTTCTCATCGTAGATGGTGATACGTGAAAAATGAGAAAATGATAGAGATCGATATCTCAAGTAAAAACTAAATATTAAAAGAGCATGGCAGAAAAATTTGTTTCGGATTTTTCTGTGTCATATATCAAACAATGTTTTTATTCTAATACTGTCGTAATTTTAATTTACCAGACAAAGGTAACGCGTAAATGATAACGCGTAAATAGATTTTATATGTATTAAACGTTCAACATAATTTTTACAGGACTATAATTTCATAATTAATTGTTGTAATTACGTTGCAAAAGCTTACTTAAAAAATGTGCTTAAATGATAAAAGTAATACCACAGACTTGCGCCTAGGGATGGGCGATACAAGAATCTCAATATTTCGTATTGCAATGTACGTATAGTGAGTAGAAATATTGATATTTCTCATGTATATCGGCACACGTTCTGTGTGAAAAATCGATTTGTTTTTTTTGTAAAGATGACTTACAGATTGTTTTTGAGACTATTTTATTGATCTTTTAAAATAAATTTTCTAATTAGAATTTTGTAAAGATTAGATAACATACGTTCTCCCGGACGTACACATCCTGTTATCACGCGACAGGTGTTGTCACGTTCTGTGTGCATTGGACAAAAGATATGGAAAAACTATTCTAAAGTTTTTTCTTTAGAAAAACTAATTCTTTAGAAAAACTAATCTAAATAAATTTTGCTTTGATTGCTCTCTACTTTTAATTCAATATCAATCCATACTAAATTAACACGCGCGAGTTTAACAGACTGTATTGAAAGTTTAAATGTCGATACGTCAATATCGAAATACAAAGTATCAATACAAAATATCGAAAAAAGTTCAAAAATATCGATATTTAAAATATTTCTATATCGCTCATCTCTACTTGCACCTTATGAAAAAGACATAGTCTTCCAACCACGAGCGTAAATGAAGCTCATTCTACTTCAAACCTAGGCCTGTATTCTGTAACTCGTTATGCAGTCCTTATATATCCATAACAACAATGCACAGCTTTTTTACTATATAAAGTATTTTGTTACAAAATACAGAGACTGGGCAGTTAAAAACGAGGAACGCTATATCGAATTTTTAGGTATCGCCTAATTCCGGATCCTTGTCTATCATTTTGCTAGGTCCCGGATTGTCGTGTGATTTAGGCAGGAAGCCATTGGCTGTCGAATGTGGCTTTATGTTCCAGCTTACTGGCCGTGGCTGATTTAATTCGTCATATTCCGATTCATTGTTCTGTTTAATCTCGTCGTAGACGTGTTCAACTTTTTTGCCATCCATCTCGTCGATGCTGTGATATACATTCAAGTTTGGATTTCCCATATCGGCGTCCCTATTCTTTAAATCATATTGCAGTCCGTATGCTCCTAAATAGTAATAAATTGATGTAATCGTGTAAACTTTTCTTTATTTTTTGTTATTAATGAAAATAGCGTACCTTTACAATCATCTTCATCATCAGTACAACTGTTTAAGCCAAATTTAGCCTTCTCGGTGTTTATATTTTTATGGAAATTATTCCGAAATTGGAAATTGTTTAGCAACGTAGTAGTACCATCATCGAACTTCGAGGACCCTTGATACGCATATACTGGATTGTCGAATTGATTTCGATCTATGGGGAAAGTTACAATATTTTAGATCTTTGTGCTCGAAGACCTTGTGTTCTTCAACAATTGTCTTAATAGATGTTTAATGTGTATACAATCAGAAATAAGAAATACTTAATTTACCTGGCGGAGATACAGGCTCAGCTGTGTATTGTACCTGAGCTATCTCGCTCTTGAGATCAGCCACTCGGCGACGATGGTACATCCATGCAGCAAACAAAACACCAATTATAACAATAGTCGCAAATACGGCTCCTACAATGTGCCCGTATCCCCCATCTTCCTTCTCTTGGATGTTGCGGGAGAATAGCTGTTCGTCGCAGTTCTCACCTAATAAAAGTAATTTATCAGTCATTATAAGTCACTAGCGTATGGTAACAGGAAAGCCACAATTTTTTATGCAGACTTCATTAAGAGCTCTCTTTATGTACCTGTATATCCATGCCTGCAAATACAACCCTCAGCTGGATGACACATAAAGAAGTCGTTTTTACATTCGCAAGATTCCATACAATGGTCACCATAATATCCCTCAGGACAAACTAAAATCAGGAAATATTATATTTAAATATAAATTTATTAATATATACAAATCTTTTAATTTGTATATATATTAATTAATAAACTAATACCGAGAGGTAGTCTAATTGGCTAGGACAGTTGCGCGTAAAGCAAGGTATCCGGATTCGATTCCTGGCCGAGGTAATATTTTTCGTAATAAGAATTTTCCAGATTTAGTATTTTTAGATTATTAGAGTTGCGTTTCATGACCGACGATTGTTCGGTGCGCAATTTGGGGGGACTACATATATTAATAGAACGTTATTTCCTACTTTGGATAAATATTGCGAAGAATATCACTACGTCGACTCGCCATCAGAGATCTATCGATATTCGCAAATTCTCATAAGTGCTGAGACACGCGTATATCTCTTTTTATAGAATCTCGATTTAATAACTCACCAAGGCGTATAAGGTAGGCTTCCACTACAATGCCTTACTGATGAGTCCAGTAGTGGAAGCCGGGACGAAACGCCAAAAATTACGTGATATTCTTCGCAATATATAATATTAGAATAAATTATCAGATTTAGATTTTAAATTGTAATTTGACTCTTATTCGCCCTGTGTGTTTAACGTATTAATTATTATATTTATTTAAGACAAAAACTTTATGACTATGTGTCCAAAACAATTTAGTTTTAAAAATACAAGATATTAAAATTGAAAGAAAAATTTTGTTTACTCCAAAAATTTCGAAAATTACTTGAGTTATTTTGAAATTTTGTGTATTTTTTTAAGAACACGAAGACTTCTTAATGTTTGAGGCTATATATTATTTTTTTATTCCATCAATAATAAGCTAATATCTTTGAAATTAACAATAAGTCGTTTTGAAGATATGGTCATACGAAATTTTCATTTTGAATTTATGTAAAATTCTTGTATATATAATATAGTTTGACATACTATTATATCATTCTTTTCTAGACGTTGTAGTCTATAGCTTTTCAAACCTACTTTCAGTACATCTAGTTCCAGTCCATCCAGGCGAGCATCGACAATGTCCATCATTGGATCTGCATTTACCTCCGTTCTGACACTTGCAATGTTGTGTGCAATTTACACCATATGTGCCCTCCGCGCAAGGTATTTGACAGTACTCGCCTTGCCAACCAGGTCGACATTGACATATACCTTAAATTAAAATACATACTTCGATGATAAAAGCTGGATCGAAAATACACGATATTTATATAAATTAGGGTTCGATACGCGATGCAACTCTCGGCCGATTTTCGAATCGGCTTCTCCTTCCGCTGTCCCCCTCATCTCACCACCCCGCACGCAGCTCAAATGCCGCTCGACCGTCGAGATATCCAAATATGGATATTTATAAATATGGATATTTATTTTAAAATTAAAAATTTTTTCATTTTAAAAAGTAAACTTAGAGTTACGTGCCAAAGTTTATGCGGACACCATATCTATATTTTTTACGATGTAATTATACTCTTCAAATTTTGAATAAAATTATTTAAATAATAGACGTACTCATACAATTGCATATCTCAGGAAGAATCGAGGACTTTCAACTTGCCTGTTACATGATGACATTCTCCACCGTTTTTACAGTGACAACGATTCGCGCAGTTTAGCCCATAACGATTGGGTGGACACGGATGTTCGCAGGTGAGACCCAGGTATCCCGGACGACAAACGTATTCACCGGTAACGTGATCGCAAGTCATATTTCCTAAAAAAAGGAACAACTACGCTAAAAAAAATTATTGATAACAAAGAAGAATTTTCATGAAAAAACTTTATGCTGATTTTTCCATACGTACAACATACTCATTAAAATTATTATCCTTTCCACCATTTTTGTTTTAATTAACTAGTTTGTTTTAATTAAATGTAAAATCAGTGTTGGGCATCAATCAATTGAATCTTCAATCAATTAATCAATTGATATTTAATTGAATATTAACAGAACAATTTGCAATACATACTATAAAAATCAATTGTTAATTGTACCCACAATTAAATAATGATTACAATTAATTAATTGTAATCATATAAACCCACAATTACAATTAACTTATTTAATTGTCAATTGCAATTAAAAATGTAATCTTAATTGTTAATTATTAATTGTCAAAACAATTTAATTGTGCTCAACACTGTGTAAAATATTATACGTAAACTAACAATTAACAAAAGTACTCAGTGAAGCGTTTGATAGTATAAAAGCAATTGGTGACAAAGAAATGGGTCAACGTTTGCGCAAGCAGTGGTCAAATTATTCCTTTAAATTAGTTTATGTATATTGCCAAGTACACATAAGAGAAAACCCACATCCAAGCGTATTTTCTACATCGGATATTACAATGCTACATAAGCAGAAAAAATTCGTCCTACATTTGATTCAATTTCCTTTTTTTACACCCTTTTAATTGTAGTATACTAATGTATACACCAATCGGATAAACTTACATAAAAATATGTTCCCTGAGAGAGAGATCGACTGAGCATTTCCATTTATGCATTGTAAAACTGAGAAATTATTCTAATATATGAGAATTATAAAAATATAACATCACATTCAACATAAATAAGATATTAAATATAACATACTCTACTACAAGACAATAATTATGTTATCTACAATAATACAACTGTCAAAAATCTGTCAAAAAAATCATGCGAATTTAATATATTACGGAGAGTCACACTCAAACGACATCATGCTTTACATCTTGGATATTGATTATTTTTACCATTCATTTTCTCTGGACATTTTTCTCTGCATCCTAGTCCGTACCATCCTTCATTGCAAGGTTGTGAGCAATTGGGGCCTTGCCAACCCCTGGCGCAGACGCAACTTCCGGTTGTGGGATCACACGAACTATTGTTCATGCATTCGCAATGTGAGTGACAATCCTTGCCGTAAAGACCCTCCGGGCACTTTGTTTCGCATTGTACCCCTGTTTTGATGTTAAAGCAAAACTAGTCTCGAGAAACGACTCTTCGCTGGCCATTAAAAAGCTTTTTCTATATTACTTTACCACTTCCTTTTATTCTTTAAATAATTATTATTAGACCGATATGCGATGTACTTATGTTTACGAATAATATTTCTCACGATCGTTTAACAATAATTTTTCTGTTGTTTCAATAACGTAAGATTATTATCTCAACGTGCAAAGTTTTTGATTAATGATCGGACACAAAAATAAATTCAACAAACCTCGCCATTCTGGCTTGCAGATGCAACGTCCGGTAGCGGAGTCACAGTCCACGGTATTCTCCTCGACACAGTCACAACTCTGATTGCATCCGTTTCCAAAAAAGCCCTTTTTACAACGATCCTGACATAGTATGCCGGTGAAACCAGCCGCACATGTGCACGTGCCTGCGTGTGTGTATAGATAAAATAACGCGTGTTCTAGGTGCAAGTGCTGAGAGAGAATTTAAAGGATTTCGCCGCGTATTCTTTATAATTTTCTTTTCTAATAATATCGGTGAAATTTCACCAACTCTATTGCAAAATCGAATCGATAGGGGCACTATTCAATTACCTTACCATTTTGCGGGTTGCAGGCAGCATTGTTAAAGCACTTGCATTTGTCCTCGCAATCCTTGCCATAAGATTTGTCGTCGCAGGGACGATCGCACAAAACACCAACCCATCCTGACAAAATGTCATAGAGATATATATAATCTGTATAGTACTTACCATACAGAATATGGAATATCTTCTCCATAGGAAATACGTAACTGGACTTTAATGAATAATTCTACCGAATAATTATATATAAATTCTACAGGCGAGCAATGAAAAAACACTACGAGAAATATTAAACGAGGCAACTATTTGATACCATGCAAAAATGTTATGCAAGGTAATTGTGAAATATTGACAAGACTTTTAGAGATAATAAAGGTAATTAAGAAGGATTAAAAATTTTTTATAAAAAACGAACATAAAGTTTGGTATAATTAACTACATAAGCTGCTATCTTTTTAAAGGACACAAATGTCGTTCTGTTTTTTTTAGTTATCTAACAAAGATAAAACGATACTTGTGTCGCTTAAAAGAAAAGTAGCTATAGTAAAACTATAGTAAAACTCTTTGTAAAAACTGATTTTTGTGTGAATTGGATTGTTAAATTTTTAATATATTCGAGTGTTAATTTAACATAATGTGATTGTGTTATTTTATGTTAAATTAATATTCAACATTTCTCAGTGTTAAAATAATATAACTTATAAACAAGTAAACAAATAATATAAAAATAATGTATTTTAAAACATAAAGTCCAAAGTAATAAATAAAATGTATTAATTAAACATCATAAATATTAGTTTTACTGAGCCATGTTAATTTAACATATTAGAAATGTTAACTTTGCTGAAATAATATGTGTCTATAATTTTCTTACAAATATATAATGTCAACGTTATATTTTTTGTGATAACTTTTTAATATTTGTATTACTTCCCAATATATTCATTTATGTTATTATTAAATTAACATGAATACTTGAGTGTTTGAGGTGTTAAACTTAATTATAAAAATATTAATAATACTGTTAATTATTATCAATATTTTTATAATTTGAAATTAACAAAGTCTGTATTATTCACCATCATTCCAGCATCCCCTTGACATAAATTTTCTATTTGTATAACATTGACTATTATAGAATTTTTTTTAAATATAGTGCATTAAAAAATCTCTAAACGAGTTTATAATTACAAACCATTGTGAGTAATTATTGAAGTTGTGTACAATTACACTTACCAGCCGTGCAGTTGCAGCGTCCGTTCTCAGCTGAACAGCTGGCTCCGTTTTTGCAGGCACACTTCTGCGCACAGTCTTCTCCGAAGGTGTTTGCGGGACATAGCTCGCCGCAATCCTTTCCGCGATACCCGGCTGCACAAATGCAAGTGCCGTCAACGGGTGAACACTGTGCGTTGTTTTTGCAGTTGCAACGATTCTGGCAACCCTTTCCGTATGTATAGAAGGGACACGGTCTGGCGCAGGTTTCGCCGTCCCATCCCATTTTGCAAGAACATTGTCCGGTCCAAGGATGACATAGTTCCGTTTTGTCATTCTCGCATTCGCAGACCTAAAAATTAAATTAAATTTATGATTAATCGAGACATTTTGACAAAATTTTCAAGAGTATAGTTTTTTAAGAAACTATGAATCACCTTTGCACAGTTGAGACCATATAAACCATCCTCGCAGGCTCGTTGGCTGCACGTTTTACCCATCCAACCTGGACTGCATACACAGGTGCCGTTAGTAGGATTGCACGTGGCACCATTTTCGCAAGTACAATTGTTTGTGCAGTTCAGTCCAAACGTGCCCTCGGGACAGACTTTTAAACACTATTTGTCGCATTAAAAAAAAATTAATTATTTCAATTTAAAGATATTATTTAATCATAGTAATCAATGTTTACGTACTTTGTCGTCGTAGAAACCCGGTTTGCACTGACACTTGCCCGTAATGTGATCACAACCTGCTCCGTTATAGCAATCGCAAGATTGAGAGCAATTCTTGCCCCAAAAACTCTCCGGGCATCGATTTGCGCAGACTGAACCCTATGACAAATCAAATTTGTATGTAAAATTTACATGTGTATCACGGGATACACTTCGTATTCAATTACGCTAAATTTCACATACCGTCCAACCGGATGTACAGTAGCATTCACCGGTCCTAGGATTGCAAGATCCGCCGTTCTGACAACGACATTCCGATTTACACTCTTCGCCATGCTTGCCCACAGGACATAATTCGTTGCATCTGTAATACGATAATGGTGTAAGTTGATATTACATCATAACGATCGTTGACGATCGATACAGACGTTCTCCGGTGAAAATATTTCTTAAAATCTTTCATATAATTTTTCAATACTTCTGAATAATTTCAAAATTTTTTTAAATTTTTTTGTAATTTTATAACCTTTTAGAAAATTTCTCGGGTCTTTATATAAAATTAAAACACTTTTAAGAAATGATGAAAAAATTTAAATCTTTGTTAAAATTCTTTCGAAATAAAAATTTTTAGAAAACTATTATTTGTTCAGGAAATATATCTCTCGAAAAAAAAATATATATATATGGGACTCACAGCGGTCCTGTGTAACCAGAGGTGCAATGGCATTCGCCAGAAATATGATGGCAACTCCCACCGTTACTGCAACGACACTCCTCGGCGCAGTCCTGTCCGTAGCGGTTAAAAAGACACTTTTGATCACAGTACACTCCGGTCCAGCCCCTGGTACACATGCATTTGCCATCAAACGGATCGCATGCGGCCCCATTCTGGCACTTACAATCCATCTCGCAATCTCTGCCCCATTTACCCGACGGACACTCTGTTCATACGAGAGTTAAAAATAAATTACCTTGTGTAAAGCTCCGCTTTTTAAACAGACTTTTTTATCTTCGTTGAAGCAGGAAGTCATTGTGTGCTCTTTTATCAGTTTTTTAAATAATTCTCGAACGTAAATATTCTAACAAAAACCAATATTTTTAACAATAAAAAGTGTATTTACACTACCGTTTATAAATTTGGGAATACACTTGATATTTTTTGTATTTTATGAAATGTATTATTATTTATGTCATATTGTTGCATCGCAAACGAAGTATACGTGCGATAAAAGAGTACTTGAGTCGCCGGGCTGAAATGCGTGCGTCCCGTCATTGTTATTAATCCAATAAAACAATAAGAAACTCACTAAAGTCGCATAACGGGCCGCCATATCCTGATTCGCATTTGCAGATGTCAGGCGCGATACAAGTACCATGGCGGCAATCCTCGGAACAAACTGGAATGCAACGACTGCCATTTGTGGTCTCCGTGTAGCCTTTGCAGCATTCCTCTACGGGCTTTTGTTTTACTAATTCCTGAAAGAACCGCGTAATCACTGGATCGATTCGTACCGTTCCACCGATAATCGTTTCTCCATAGTTTCCTTTTTCGAGTTTATTACGAGTAATAGTAAGCAGAAAAGCAAATCTAAATCGGGAATCTTTCCGTAAATTAGAAAGTATGTAGGTAAATCGTAGACGCAGATTAGATAACCAACCTGCTCTTTGTAGACAGTTCTGTAGACGACTTTGTATTTGGAGCATCTCGGTGGGAAACTCAAACACCACGTGTTTTCTCGTACAGTATATGGTTTCTGCTCGGATACTTTTACTGTTATCGTATACCTGAAATGATATTCGTAAATTCTTCTGATAATAACAGTCTCGCTGTCAGGCAATAACTGCCTAGTTTTTTTATTAAACAATCACCAAAGATTTTATACATCAAAAGTTTTACACATAAATTAAAAGTCACCATATTAATAATCTACTTATAATAAATGTAGAGCAATCAATAATATTATATATATTACTGATTTTTAAAATAATTTATTGATATTTGATTGATGATCCATTTTTAATTGAGAAAAAAACATGTTTTTTTACTTATAAGATTCCTAAATTAGAATTTAACAATTTGGCGCGAACATTTAAAATTTAAATTCATAAAATTCATTGCAATGTTTGTTTCCTATTTAATATTAATATGGTATAATATTTTATTGCGTAATTAATACTATATTAAACAAATGTAATCATTAATAATCGACTCCTTGTAATTTAAATATAACATAAACAAATTTAAAAATCGGCTATATAGGAGTCAGCGCGGTAAGTAGTGCGCAACGTTAATATAAATAAAAAATTATTTATTTATACTAAATAAAAAAAAATTATATCGATTCTCGAATGCTTACGTTTCTTGCCGGGTACAAATGTTCGGTCCTTCGAGAGCTGCCGTCGCTCCTGTCGAGATTATCACAGCGGTGACCGCGATCAACCACCAGCTTGCAGACCCCATTTCAGCAGCTAATCGATACAACTTTGAACTTCGTGATCGAAACATCACTATCGCCGTCCCATCGCGTTATCGCAGACCTTGTGATTAATCTTTCACGTTTCGCACGGCACGCCGGTTGTAATCATTCGCTCAATGTCCGAAAAGCAGGACGGTCGACCCGTCTCTGGATCTGAAAGTAAAATGTGCTGCGTTAGCGTGTGTCGCAACGGTGTGATTTACCTCTACCTCGCGAATTATGGACTGTAAAACGACTGCACGAGTTTATACATACTCGAGTATCCGACACGCGATCCCTCGCACGTAGCTATGCGGGGCTGTACGTAGTAGAAACGTTGCGCATTTTACTGGACCTTACAACGCGGTTTTAATCACTCCACAGGAAACTTACTGTCGCGTTCAGACTCGACTTTATACTCTGCACTGACCGTAATGAATCACAGCGAAGCCATTTGCACTTGTGGATCTTGATTCAACTTTAAATAAACGTCGAGTCGGGTTTCCGCTGTTGGGGTTGAATACTATCGGGTTTTGTGCTACGTATAATTTTAATGCGTTGATTACCATACGATCGCTGATAACTGGCGTCATCAAAGCTTCTCCAAATACTTGTTAAAAGTAAACATCGTCTAATATAACATTTTAAAATTTAAGATAACATATTAATAAGTAAGTAACGTATTAATATCGAAATATTTTAGTAGATAATATTAAAACATTCTCATCAAATATAAAATATTAAATGACATAAATATCATGGAAGATAAATGCAAGAAGAATCATGAATGCAATAAGAATCATTAAATCTGAGTTAAAAAAATTATTAAATTCATAGACATCTTAATATGTATGACAAATTAGTTCGCATTCTTCACTTTATGTTTCTGGTCAATAAAGTAAAAAGGTAACAAAAAAGTGACATTCTTGTCAATTATATGAGTAAAATACTGAGCGTCCATTAATTATAACACGAAGAAAAATAGTATCACACATCGTATTTAAGCTAATTTGCAGGAACATCTGATTTGAGTGATGTCAAATATATATATAGTTCTTTTTCTGGCAACAACAGCAAGCCCGAGTAAAATCTCAACAAGAATTATTCCATCAGTGATAATACACATTTATCGAAAAGCTTTTAACTGCTTTTACATCAATATCTATAATATATGGAATAAAAATAGAATCGCTCGTTAGTGGTATATCACAGAGTTCAGCTAGGATCTCGAGAATAGTTTAACCTTCGACGTTTGGTTCATTCGCTATGAAGGACTCTTCAACGGTAATATAATACTAAGAATCTCGACGATGCTAAAATAAGACTGCTACGTAAATTAAACACAGCTTGCCGTGAATGTTACATTTTTTTCTGTTTCTAAAAAATTCTCGTTCGTAGCTATAATCGTAGCCCAATTCAACCAAATGTTTGGGAAGAAAATCTCATTATCGGAGATGTAATTGCATGAACACAGCTATATATAAATCCTCTCAGATCAATAATTTCAAAATTTTACAAATCACGACGGATACTCAGAAAGATACAAACTACACTCGTATCAGTAATATATTTTGCGTTTTATGTATATCTACTGTCGTATTCATATTTTTGCCAAACAATAATAATGATGTAAAAATATGCATTATTTAACATGGGATCTTTGATAATACAGGTCCTATTTAATTACATAAATTTTATACACAATTATTTATTATTATTATATCTTATATGTGTAATAATAAAAATTTCACTGATCATGTGGATAAAACATACAAAGCTTAATTGTTAAACAGGCAACGCATTTATAAAGACTCTATTGTTCGAATAAAATGCGACAATTCTATCGATCGAGTTCTTTGTGCCCTATCGGTTTGACGTACAAATAATACTCGCTGCAATCATCTGCCGTGAGTTTCCGCTTGCGATTAGAATTATATAACGCGAATGGTTCATATGGGGTGCAATTTTGTCGAACGAGGGCGCATGTCGGTATCGCGATTTCGAGCGAGCACTTTTCGTCGATGAGCATTCGATAGTTCCGCGAAGTCGTTTCACCGAGCGAAATTTCAATCGCGTGCTTATGACCGGAAATTGTGCCTTGGGATCGAGTAAAGTACATGAATCAGAGGCTTGCACACGTGTTGAACATACGCTTTGCTTCACGTTTTTGTCATGACGTGACTCGTGCGCTCTATGATTCACGTTGCGAATCAGGCGGCTAACGCGCTCAACGGCGACCGGAAGTGCTGTAATATTAGACCGATTAGAGCGATGCTCCAAGACGAATCTAATCGTTCGACCGCAACCGCACATCTAGAGAGAATCTCACGTTATTAACGCACGGTGCTTCTCTCTCTCTCTCTCTCTCTCTCTCTCTCTCT